CAACGTGATGCGCAAGGTCATGACTGATGTAAATGCCTCCTGTTCTTCAAGATACAAGGTGAATTCAGGTCCGCGTGCCACCCAAGGTGACAGACTATTCATGTCGTCTCACCTTCTCACATGTTCAGGTGTCCTTCCTGATAAAGCGCCTGAGCAAATTAATTAGAACAAATACAAATTCCTTCAAGGTGCCTGTCAGCTTGGCAACCGATCAAATGTTAAGCATGTCAAAGGAGGGACGCTATCGTTTCCTCCCTCTTTTGCCGCTTTTATTGAGGACGTTTTTTTTTTTTTAGCCCACGTGTACACTTTGACGTACCCTCGGCTCCCTCAAATGAATTGAACAGGGTGTAGATCACAGTGTGGTTGTGTTAAATAGTTTTTGGGAGTTTGATGGATGGATGGATGGCCATTCTGACATTCAACCGCAGTGTCGACAAAATTGCCGACATGGCGGCAAGGAGCGCTGCTTGGTAATGATATGCTAATTAGGACTGAAACGGGGTTGAAAGCGAACACGCGTCTGGCTGCATAATCACTGGCTGTTTGATCTGATGTATGCTCATTTAAGATATGTGTCGCATGGTAATTTGATAGTGTTAGGCAAGTTCTCCAACAGCCAGCCCCCCGCCCCCCGCCCCCACGATGACATCTTCACCTTTCTTTTTCTGCATACCACAGCACTGTTGAGATGGTCCTTGTACGCTTTTTTTGGGGGGTGTGCATGTCGTTAATCATTCTCTGCGAATATGTTTTTGGAAATCACCTCTCCTCCACGAGAGGTTTGCGCGTCCGAGTGATCTGGCTGGATGGAACGAACACACATGAGTAGACACGGCATTGTAGACAAAAGTATCGGGACACCTGGACCGGACAGCCAATAGACGTGAGGTTGAGGGGAAAATATGAAGTCCGTCCATCATTTCATTTATGCCAAAGAGACGTGATGGGTTTTGGGTCTGAGCTCTCAAGTGCTTCCACATTGAACTCATCCGAGATTGCCTTTCAGGGCCTTCATCCCACAGCCGTGCCGCAACAGAAAAGGGTCTTCGCCAAACTGTTCCCACAGAGTTGACAACATTGAATTGCCCAAAATGTCTTCATATCGGAACATTCTGATGAACCGCGTGGTCTAGTCCAACCCTTAATTGACTGAGTGAGTCTTCGTGCTTAGCGCGTAATACGTCGTAAAGGTCAACCCGTAATTCTGCCTGTAGGCTAATCAAGAAGAACTTCTGAGAAGTGAACTGAGGATGTCATCTTAAAATAACCCCGCCGCGGCACAACGGGTCCGCTGCGTTTCTGCTGAGTCACGCTCAGCCCTTTTCCCCAAATAGCCGAGTCACCAAAGAGGCTCTTGCTGACTGCATAACACCCCCTTACGTAAGAGCCGTCCTCGCTTGTGCAGACGGGTCGTCCGGCAATTTGCTGTCCGGCAACAGGCGCTTTGTGCGGGTCGCAATGTGTCGTCCAATTGTGCGAAAACCCCTGCTTAAACCGATCGAGCCCTTTCAATGCTTCAATGCCTCTCGATAAGTGAATTCGTTTGGATTACGTGGGCGTGCGACAAGATGGCGGTAAACCCTCAACACGCCATTGATGATTCTGTGACGAGAAAAAGAAGCTTACCTCCATTCAAAATGTGTGCGCGCGCGTGTGCGATAGTGGATTTAAGCCCCTTATTAGGCCTATTCTTGTCTCTGCCTACTGTAGCGCACAGGTGCTTACCTAAGCTTAGGAGGGTGTGTGTGTGTGTGTGTGTGTGTGTGTGAGAGAGAGAGAAAAAATCTCACCCAGTGACTCAGAGAAGACGACATGAGTAACATTACGAACTCGCACTCATTTTCCGCAGTGACGTCTATTGCGCAGATGGCGTGTGACGTGAACATGGAATCATTTTCAAGAATCGGAGCAGGCATGTGTGCACACATGCTCACCAATCAACACGTAAATGGCCCCCCAATGTCACATTACCTGGGGGGGTTATGGACCACCACCAAATATACTCTATATCTATATATAGCATCTCTTCCCCAGCCGGCTAATTCTTCGCCCCCCCCCATCGCCCCCCCCCCACTCCATTATGGAACAAAATCCCAGTGGTGCCTCGTGGCAGTGAGTCATTGCAAATGGGATTTGGGTTTTTACGCCCACACCGCCAGCGCCAGAGTGGTCCACAAACCCAAAGAGTCCTGTCACAACCCCCCCAAGTGTAACATAGCAAGCGGTCCATTATTTTTATGATCCTTTTTTTTTTTTTTTTTTTTTGTAGAATTCAGAAGCCTAGAGGGAGTTGGGTGGTTGACTCCAGGCTGCTGCTGCTGCTGCTTAGTTTCCACATCAGATGCCACCATCTATCTGTATGTGGTCCTTTTCATTGGTTTCACAGCTGGCAAGTCTCGCTGTTCTCCAACCAGCACCCCAATTTGGCAGCAAGTCTTGAACCGTGCCGATAGATTAGGTTGTCCAATTGTTTTAATAGACAACAGGACACAACATGAAATCACTGGCACGGAATGTCCAAGATGAGATCCTTCATTACATTCCTCGTGCATGTATTTGATTTGATTTGATCGTGAAGTCTCCCCAACGCTGCAATTCCAGCCTGATCATTCTCCAGGCATGAAAGTGTCACACAAATGGAAAGTTGCATCAGTCGCCCGGAGGAAACGGAGGCAAGAAATCGTTGGTTGAACTCCCCGGGTGCACTTTGTGAAAGACAAAGTTGGGGGGTGAGGGTGAATGACGAGCCAAATGACGCAATGGCGCTACACAGCTGCAAATGAGTCTGGGAATGAATATGAAATGCCCTGTTGGAAAGTATTCCTCTTTGGAGAATTGTCCATCTTTTGGCTGCGGAACTCATTTCCACAACTACGCGGGAGCGCTTGCTTCCCCCCCCGCCGCCCCGTCCCCCCACTTTATCAGCAGCAAAAATGCTGTTGCAACTCATGCTAAAATGAGGTAAAGTGGGCTTGCTTTAATTCAATTTAGATTAGCCTAATTCTCGTCATCCCAGAAGGAATCCGAGGCACAGTTGGCATAATTCCTCCTCACTTCCACTTTGCCCGCAGCCCGTTTTCCTGCAGCGTCGACTCATGACATCGCCATCTAATCCATCTTCATCCCGTCCGATGAGGGCAACACGGTGTGAAGGAGGGAGGGTGACCTCCGCTTCTTAATATAGACGCTGACCCTTTGGCAAGTCTTGACACTGTAATGGCCCGCTTCGTCACAGCAACACATGTTCTCCCCCTTGTGTCAGGCACTTTTCGAGGGGCCAATGATTTCTGATCCCTCGAGAATCTTCCGAGAAAAGCGGAAAAACGGATCACTGAAAGAGCAGGAAAACGGCAGACGTATCGCCCCTGCGGGCATATACGCTCACCCAAACGATTACGAACGCGTGCGCGCGATGAGCCGCTATCCGTGCCGCAAAGGGATTGAACCGGTTCGTCGACGAGTCGGCTTGACGATGACGCAGTGACGTGTGAAGCTTCGGGTCGACGAATCTCAATCGTGGGTCCAAGTCTGTGAAAGTAAAGATGATTGTGGATGTGGAGAATGACGTCGTCTATGTGGCTGCAAGGGCAGCGGCGCACGGTGACCTTCTCGGCTTCGTCACTTTGATCATAAAAGACCGGACGAAATGTGCTCGGTGATGGTGCAGTGGTTCACTTGTCTGACGTGTGTGTGTGTGTCCTTGTGCGCCAATTAATGTATTTGTATGCAAGGTGTTCAGATTTAGGTCAAAACTGCAGCGACTCCAAGACGCCGGCGCATAGCCTCAATGTCTCTTCTGCCTTCAGGTTGGAACCGCGGCGTCCTTTCGGTCTCGCGCCAGGAGATTGTTTGGGCGAGCAGGTGTTTGCTTCCCTCTTCACTGCTTTGTTTTTTCACCGTTTTTTCTCCCTCAAAGCCTGCAGGAGACACGCATGTTCAAATCCCAAAAGCGCTCGCGTGCAGCCGGACGTTCAGACCAGCCGAACCGCTTTTCAAACGTATAAAATCAACTTGATTCATTGATGAAGCCAAAAATGAAAACAGTTTCGCCGGTACACAAAAAGCGGGATGTATTTATTTTTGAAAAAATATTCCACAACCCGGTCTTTTATAACTCGGCACGTCCGATGACTTGAGTGCGGTGACTCACCACAGAAGGAGTTCCTCTTGGACGCCGCCGCTCTGAAATCCGGATTAACTCGTTAACGGGCCGGAATATCGGCGCGGGAGATGCGCTTCCGTGAGTCGAGGCATCCCAGCTGCGTCCCCGGTTCAAAAGTCCACTTGTGACGTGGCGTTACATAAGTCGTAAGCCGCGGTTGGTCACTGGCGGTTAAGCTGCTCATTTTGTGAACTCGGTCTACGTTTGATCGTTACTACTGACCATGCGGAAGCGGTATTCCAAGCGATGACCCCCCGTACGGTGACTTTATTTTTCAACCAGGATATATACAATCAATGGTTTGTTGTTATATTCGGATGATACGTCCGCAATGCACATCGGATTACGGAGGAGGAAATGCGCTTTCGCATCATGTACCGCTGAAAAGAAAGATTTTGGCCCGTAGAAGCAGACGCAGGGACACCTCAGCCAATATGACATCCGATTTGAATATTTCATTTCAACTTGGTCCTCCTTCTGCGGCTGTAACATCTTCCGCTGCTCCGGGAAGACACCGTTTTGGTCTTTCCGAGTCCCCTTTTTTGGGCCCACTGATGCAGAAGAACATTTGTGAGGTCACTGACATGACAGAAGTTCTTCCGCAACAAATTCATTCAACTGCGCCTTCTCGACGCTAAAGGATTCATGCGAGGTTGAAAAGTGGGCCTGCTTCGAAGATTTTGGCGCTCTCCTGTCATTCTGATCAAATCTGCAGAATATTCGAGGTGCGCCTCTCAGCGTGTTGCCAAACAAAGCATGACCATTCCTATTCACGTTGTCACGCCGTCTGCATTTTTAATACAAGCGCGATCCTCTTCTGTGTGTTCCCTCCCAGTGACGAAAGCATCGGCCATGCGCATCGGATATAAACGTCAGCGGTTCCGCGGCGGAGTCACGAAGGCCCTCCTCCAAGTCATGAGGTAAGCCGCGGGCCGACGCGCTCGCTTGCCGGTCGTTCCTCCCACGCCGGACTCGAGTATGCGCGTGGTTGTAAACTCCAAAATTGTGCAGGGTGCGCAAAGAGGGAGAGAGTGGGTCGAGGGATGATTCAATGTTGTGTTTGTACATTCACCGCTTTCGGGAGAAGTCAAGTTGAGTGAGTGAGCGGGCGAGTGCATCTATTTTTTTTTCTCCAATGTTTAAACTTGTAGAGTTGCCTGCTAAGTCATTCCTTTTATATTGTGATGAACCTTGCCCGTACATATGCGTCTGCATGTTATCTATAAAAAAAAAAATAATAATAATAATAATAATAATGTTAAAAGCCACGCATGCAAATAGCGTACGTAAGCAATCGAGTGACACGCCAGCAAATCGGACAGAAGAGAAAAACGCGTTGATGCCAAACCACCTGGCAGGTCGGCATCGCACACAAACCCACCGGCACGCTTACATACAAACGTGCGCATCCTTGACAGTGATGAATGATCTTTTGCCGTTGCCACGTGTGCCTCCGTGGGGGGGACGTCGGCACAAGCCGCGTCCAATGTGACCTCCATGGTCTATCATACGGCGGCCGGTCAGTCCCAATCCGCGCACGTTTCCTCATGATGTTGGCTCCGAACCCCATTTTGTCCCTTACAAACACCCACGTAAACCCGAGATGTTTCGCGGCCATCATCCTCCATGATGACCGCATCCTGCAACGCAACCCCTTGACAAAAGTCAAATAAATTCGGACTTTAACGTAGTGTACTGGCGTCATGCTTCCGTGTTTTAAGAATGTGTGGCCACAAAGCTGCCAGTGTACATTTTTTTTTCCACCAATCCTGAGCTGGTTTCAAAAAAAAAAAATGGTGCAGTCACCAACACGCCTTGCTTTCCTCCCTGCTCGGGAACGACTCGCTAAGCTAGCTGTCGCGGCTAAACGCTGTCCTGCTACATACAGTAAACAAAGTATTTTGACCTGATTACTACACAGTCACCGTTGTATGACATGAGATGAATTTGTTTCTTCCTTTCCATTATTTTTCCTTGTTGCCCAAACATGCACGTTGGAATTTTAATCATGAGCACTTTTTCCTCCAGGTCTCTGGAGATATTGCCCTTTTTTTTTTTTTTCCAAACACCGCAGACTTTCATACACCTTTCCTGTTATTTTTGGGCCATCTTTCATAAAATGTGGTGTGAGCAGCACATAAGGGAGGATGGTGGAGGGGTTCCAAAAAAAAAAAAAGGGTGGGGGGGAGGGTTGGCCGGGCATTTATGGGGTGACCCCGGGGAGGGGGTTGGAGGTTTCGACTTGACCATGTGGGACATCACCCATAAAACTCAGAAAGCCTTATGCGCTTGTGAATTAGCAACTATCCAGGCGCATATATTATTTTTGGAGTGAGCCAGGCAAAATGTTCTAGCCCGATATATATTATCGCCCAGCAGCTTCTGATTCAGACAACTTTATTTATCCCACAAGGGGCAATTCGTTTGCGGCTTCCCAGTCTGCATTCAGACTTGCAGTTGGTGCCCGAATGAATAATTGATGTGAAAGAAATGCGTTGAAGCACAGGGCAGAAGGACATATCTTGGCCATACCTGTAAAGCAGCTGACAAATTGTCAGGCAAGATAAACAACATATGAGAAGAGTAACGTAAATAAGGTAAGAAGGAGACAGTGTTAAAAAAAAAAAAAAAACATCCATATGATTATTAATTGCTTTAGCTGCCTGTTTGCATTAAAACAAAGCCGAAATCCATCTCTTGCATGTACAGTAGATGAGCGATTTTATTTTTCTCCATAGGATGATCATGATGAACTTGGGTTAAGCTCCAAATGTGCTGGCTACATTTTTAATTCGAGTGAAGTATGATGTGAGGAGGTTACAGAAAAGTCGCAAGAAACTGCAAGATGTGTAAATTATGTTTTGCATTTTGACAAAAAAAAAAAAGTCCAATACTATTCATATGATTTCTCCCCATACAAACATTGGATGTTCTTAAGAATAATAACAATCATAAAAGAAATTGTGTAGCTGTCGTAAAAGTGTGTGAACAGTGCAAAAGCTCCCTCTTGGATCGGAATGATTGATAAATAAAACATGAAAATGACTGTGAGCTGCTCACAGTTGCCATTTTTGTCATTTCCAGCCAGAGAGCCCTCGTCACCAAAATAAAAGAGTAAAGTCAGCTAAGGCAAAAACCATTCCCTTCATAGTAATGGAGCAATACCACTTTATTTCCGCACCACCTTTCCGAAACACGATGATGTTCGTTTCCCCCCCCCGAACGCAATAGTGCACTGCTGCCCTTCCCAGCACCCCGCTTCAAAACGCCTGGAGCACTAATCGCCGCCTCTGGCAAACACCAATAGCGTCACGGTGACCCGCGGACTGTGAGAAGATCCACCCACAGCCTTCCCACATTTGAAACCAAAGCACCCACTGAGAACCCCAACAAGTGATACCGTCCGTAATGTCTTCCATCCATTACGTTGGTGGGTAATTGCCTCGTTGGTTCTCCTTGGATTAACTCATGTGCAACCAGGTTTCAACTTGACAGTGAGATGACAGCAGCGGATGGGCTTTGTTGCAAATGTCACACTCAGGGCTCACAATTTCACCCTTGAACATCGCGCCGCACGAGGCAAACGAGATGCAGACTTAATTAAACCAAAGGGAAATGCTCCTCGCTCTCATCCTTTATTCATTTCTGCCTGCTTCCCTTTCTGCGTTGTTTGTTTTTTCTCAGCAAATTAGGCCACTCGCAGATGCATGTAATAAGCGATGAGTGTGGCTGGATGCCACGCGTGGCGAAAAGCGTGGCAAACTATTGTTTTCCACCTATTAAGGCCCATCTGCGGGGCTTTCTGAGCGGCGTAATTCGATAGCCGCCGTTGACGGGTCCTTAAGCGAGGGCAGGTGCGAGGGACATCAGGCGGCAGACATTATCGCTCTGATTTATGGTTTTCATTCAGCGCCTTTATCATCCTATTATCGGCACCCTCACATCGTCTGTCCTCCCGCCCGACGTAGCTGAGCGCTCACGCCGGGTCAGTGGCTCGCCGCTTCCAAATGTGACGCATGAAGGCCTCACGTGTGCGTGGTTGGTCATTAGGACTGATTGCGGACAGATGGATTTTTAAAGATGCGGCGTGAAAGTCTTGTTTTTTTTCGCGATGATGCGCATCAAGCCGGAATAGCGCTCGTTGGAGCCCTGACATTGACGTGTTGACAAACACTTCCTGATTTACATAGGATGACAAAAAAATGACAGGGCCGCGATGGTTTTGATTGGGGCGCTGGAAACGGCTCCATTGTGACACAAGCCTGTGTGGGTCCACGGTCATGATGATCAATATCGTGTATATTGTGATCCTGTTAGTGTGTGCGGCACCACCAGGCCAAGTTTGCCCCTCTCACATTAAGAATTGGGCACGTAATGTCGCCTGCGTCAGATGACTTGACTTCACGCAGTCCCAGTCAGCCGTGATCAGGGCGGTATAAAGAGACCCCCCCCCAGCCCCTCCCGCAAAGGTTTATAATTACCATAACCTTGATGCAAATTTCTGTTAGCCTGTGTATGGTGTTTTGTTTCATATTAAGCTAGTGAACTCGCATTCGACAATATTTGGTTTAGTCAAACATTTTGGCATTTAAATATACATATTGGTGTGTGTGTGTGTGTGTGTGTGTGTGTGTGTGTGTGTGTGTGTGTGTGAGTTCGTGATGTAGGGGGGGGAGGATTGTTGCCATAGGGACGAATGTAGCAGAAGGAAGATGGGGGCCCGCCTCCTGACCTGCACAGAGAAAGCGAATGACAGTCACAGAGCTGAGGCGAGACAGGCGCTGGTCACAATGAGAGGAGGAGGGGAGAGGGGCAGAGGGGCAGAGCCGCACCCGCGCAAACAAATTGCCGGGGCTTCAGCGACGACTCACCACTTAGCATTAGCATCAAAAAGAGATTATGCTAATATGATCAAAGGTGGCTTTTGTGTCCCGGTAGCAATCCAAGGGCACTGGGGATGCATGAAACCATGATAGCATTATGCGCAGGCTGAACATTAACATTGCACTTAAATATAAGAAAATTGAAGAAAAAAAAAAAAAACTCAAGTATGACTCATTTCAAATGTATTGCATGGGAAAATTACATCAAAAAGACACCTAAACAAGTGCTTGAAAGCAAACAGTTCCTAAAGATTAAATACAAGTATATGGAACTGAAGTTAAACACAACTGAACTGTACTTCGGCAGTAATGATTTTGAATGCCACTAGAGGGAGCCCACCTATTACTAGTGCTTCCGAAGTTTATTCCATGAATGTTAGTAGTGTAGCCAAACTGCACTAGTTGACATTGGTGTGCAACTATATGCTATTAATGAAGGACTAGATGATGTCATCACGAAACATGTGATGTCACTAGCAGTACAGTATTGCAGTAGTTGCATATACAGTTGTCAACTCGTACACGGTTTTGCTCCACTAGTATACTCAAGTTGTCCTAATGAGGACAAAGTGTGTCCTCATCCACGGGCCTTAAGATGGATCATCGATGATACGGAATAAATGATCAAACGGCTTTCCATCTGAAATGCACTTTTATGAAAGGGCTGTCACATGGAAATCCTACATTGTCGATTCTTTTTCGAGAAAATACAAGACGACAAAGCAAAGAGCCGATCACCTGACACTGCAGCAAACTCTCACGGCCCGCAGGACGCGTTCAGTGGCCCAGCGCACTCATTCATCCGTTTCCCAAAAGCGTAGCACGTTGCAAAATTAGACAATGGAGAGCTCTGAAGAAACGTAAGCACCTCGCAGGTGGTGCCTGAACTTTTGTCCTTCCGCCCTTTCAAGTGTCTCTCAAGCCTGTGAAAGCGCATCAGCCTCCACATTTTTTCCCCCCGGTGATCGTGGATTTGGTCTCTATTGTAGCTGGCCGTCAGTCGTTTTGGGGTCGCTGAGTGCATCTCTTATTTACAGATCGGTATCATCTTAAACCGTGAAATCTACGAGCAAATGAACACTTGTGAGATAAAACATGACGGGGCATACAAGTATCTCTTTTTGCAAACATATTTTCGTGGTTCTGCTTGCCATGGGAGTTTATTTCTTGACTTCAGCTCAGTTTCTTCTTTCTGGAGCTTTAATGACAAATTAAAGCTCCCGAAAGAAGAAACAGGTTTTCTGGGATTTTTTTTTTTTGTTTTTTTTTTTCAGTATGCATGACAACACAACATTCACACACTGGAAAACAAATGCCTGTGTGTACGTGTGTCGTACTGCAAACCAAAGCGGGTAGAAACGGGCTCTAATTAAATTTCAACCATCTCACACTTGGCTCGTTATTGGATTGAAAAATCTGCCCTTGACCGGATTCACGTCATCTCCGGGAGGACTAGCGGGGTCAAAGGGCAAATGAGGAAGTGCTGATGACATATCTGATTCATGGTGCCGAAAGGGAACTGGTATTTTGAGTGGGGAGAGATGATCAGAAATATTGAATTATGTCTGTTTCTATCAAATTTTAGACGAGCTGTAGTAATGTACTTGAGATGGCAAAAACAAGACAACAGAATGCTACTTTACGCTTGAAGTGAGCAATCAGTCCAATAACGATTATCCACTTACAAAACCTTTAATATGATACAAATAAAGAGCAGACATGTTGCTGAGCAGGGCGGAAAAAAAAACAAAAACACCTGCATTCAGACTTATCACAGCCCGAGCAAACAAATGTATGTCCAACTGTTGTTACTGTGTGCTTTGTCAATTATTACAAAAAGATATAAATAAGTACCACCGCTTCAGGGAGAGTCAGGAAGGAGCTTCTGTACAGTATGGCGCTTGAAATTTACCCTGCTGCTAATACAGCGTCCAAGCGACAAGGACGTGTACGGCCACATTTGTCCAGGCAACAGGCTCCATCTGAATCAATTTTTAGGATAAAGAACATCGGCTCAGTCTGGTTGCGAGCGCAAAGGATTCTCTTCCTTGATCTGACCGGTTCAAGGCTTAAAATGTCATTGTCACAGGTTGACAGGTCAAGGGTGACAGTGCAGGAATCACTAGGATGGGCCGTCGTCGCCATGTATCGCCTTATATTTCGACATCTCCTCCGGGAAGACTTTGCTGAGCTCGGAGATGAGAAGGCTTTTGAATTTCTGTCATAGAACAAAGAAGCCAGTAAATCAGAGGTGTCCAGTTATAACAGACTCACAATTACTTCTTACCGTCAGGGTGTCAATTTTTCCTTTAACTTGCTCGTTGCGGGCCAAGGCTCTCTCCAAACACTCCTTTGTGTATAGCTGTGGGTTTCGACCCTGATCGATGTATCTGAAAAACATCACGCAGACAAAGGATGCACAATTCACAAGTTAATCCTAATCAATCAGTCAATGAAATAAGTCAACATCCGAGTCCAGACTTACTCAAACACTTCCAGCGGTACGTTGATCTCATGCAGCTGTTGACGGCACTTCTCGATGTCTTGCAGTCCCGTTATCATTAAATTTCTGTAAAAAGAAAATGAAGCCATAAAAATGCCCGTCGAACTGCAATGTTTACAACGCGTCAATTCAAACGTGACTCACAGTTTTTGGTTGAGTCCCGCTTGGCTGCTCGACTGGAAGTCGCTGACGATAATTCCAAGCTGTCGAATATTTTCGACAAACTTTTCGAGATGCTCCTCGAGGTTTTCGTTTTTCTCCGCCATTTAAATGTTATTCGAAAGATGAAAATGGCTTCAAGGGATGTCGTTTGTCAAAACAATCGCCGGTCTCTCGTTAGCCGCCACAACTAGCGTAGCTGAGAGTGCAGTTGTGCTTTACGGCAAAGAACCAGCCAATCGCTACTGGGCGCTGGCGCGTTACCATGGTGATCACCAATGAGTGTTGTATTCTGTATGAAAACGTCGTGCTTCGGAAAATAAGGCTGTTTTTTTTGCAAGCGTTCAAGATGAAATCAAAACGCTGAAATGTTCCCTCACAATATTAATTTCATGTTTTCGTGAAAAGTTTCATTAACATTTTAACATTTATTCATCTGAAACAAACGCCCCGAATAGGAAAGAGTCATCACGCAACCTACTTATCAGTATCTACGGCGCCAATTAACAATTAAAAGAATAATTTATTACGTGTATAAACAATCATTATTGGAGTAAATAAATAACATTAAATAGTATATGCAGGTGTCTGACAACCCTAGACACCACATGAACAGGAAATGATACCACCACCTTCTCAATAAAAGCTTTGGGTCTTCTCTCCGTGAAGTGACAGGATGATGTATTAATGAATGATAAAATAACGATTGAATGACGAAAAACAGAGACTGTACTGATTGAAATGTTTAAATGTTTGTCTTGTGGATGTTGTGATTGTCTGATTATCGAACATCATCAGCATGGACGCTAATACCACATGTTCAATTGGCAGATAGTGAATATTTTGAAATGTGTATTTTTGTTCTTAACGGCGCGGTGTCGTTTGAGTCTGCACAAATGCGCACGCACGCACACACGCACACGCAATCGTCAGTGTGCGTGAGGAGCTTTACTTTGAAATGCGTCTTTGCAGGGTGAGCGCATGTGGGCTGAGCGTTCGAGTTGGTGTGCTTGCCGGAGTCGTCATCCTCTGCATTACTCGAGCTGCAGCAGCTGAACACACATACGCGCACACGTACATTTACGCTCACACAAAGACAAGCACTATAATAAGCGCTTTCCTGCAGCTCCGCTGCTTGGCAGCTCTCGTGGATCTTCTGGATTGTCGTTTTTTTTTTCACGTATACGTGGTGGCCATTTGCAGCAGATACTCTGGATTTCACGCAATCGGGTAAGCGAGTCACGGTTTCGTATGGGTTTCAACTGGCAAGGGGGACACTCGCGTTCGTCGTGCAGGTGTTCGATTTGTGACCTCATCTAACGTCGTATGACGTCGTAGGCGTTTTTGACCATTGTGTTCATGTAATGCAACCCGATTCGATGTAGTGACGCGCAGCGTTTATCTTTTTAAATGCATTTGTGACACATCGCCCGGACTGCGGCGAGAACAAGGTTCTTGGCGCGGGGGAGGGATGGCGTTAAAATCCAGACGAAACGCTACCTACGTTGTTGTTTTGCGGGGCTAAGGATGACATTTCTCTATCTATGTGTAGTCACGTCGTGCAGTGATGATGCACTGAGAGGAGAGGCGCAGGATCGTGGGCTGCGATTACCCCCGAAGGCTGTCGTGAAGGTTGAGATCTGAGAGTGGCGCAAGCAAGGTGAACTCAGTAGTCCCTATCCACGCCGAGGGAATCTCGACCCTCTGTCGGGGGGTGGATCGGTGGAGGAATCCCAACCAGATCCGTTCAATAAATTATGGCCACTCTACTGCGGAAAATCGGCCTGATCCGCCTGCACGACCGAGACACAGAGGACCCCAAACACCACCAGGGCTCTTTAAAGGGCACCAAAGGCACCCCGAAAAACAACAAACATTGTCAGACGGCCAACGACACCAACATCCTCAGCACCCCGGAGATCAAGGCGAGGAAGCTGGACCAGCACGGCAAGGACAAGGAAAAGCCAGGCAAGGATGCCAAGGAGAAACAACAACAACAGCAGCAGCAGCAGCAGCAAACCGGCGGAGGTGGGAATAAAAGCACCGCAGCCTCCTCCGTCCCTCCGCTCGCGCCTCACCGGCATCACTGCACCCAAGTGCGGACGCGCAGGCTGATGAAGGAGCTGCAGGAGATCCGCAGGTTAGGGGATAGCTTCATCACGGTGGAGCTGGTGGAGGAGAACCTGTTCGACTGGAACGTCAAGCTGCACCAAGTGGACAAGGACTCCGCGCTGTGGCAGGACATGAAGGAGACGAGCACCGAGTTCATCCTGCTCAACGTCACCTTCCCCGACAACTTTCCTTTCTCGCCGCCCTTCATGCGGGTGCTGACGCCGCGCTTGGAGAACGGCTACGTGTTGGACGGGGGCGCCATTTGCATGGAGCTGCTGACCCCCCGCGGATGGTCCAGCGCCTACACGGTGGAGGCCGTCATGAGGCAGTTTGCGGCCAGCCTCGTCAAAGGACAGGTGAGATCATATCGCCATCCCGACCGCGCTACACTTAATCGTCACCCTTATACCGCATACGTGAATTTAAAACCCCCGTCACGCACATTTTGAGCGCAGGTGCCACACGCTCATTTTGCCGCGTTAGGTTTCCTAATGGCTGCACTTCGGATCAGTGGTTAGCAGTGATCTGTCTGTCCCACACCTCGAACGTTTGGAATTAGAATCTCATCTCAGTGGGTCTGACTGGACCGTGCATTTTTTTGTATTGCAATAGAATAATGTAGAACAACAGCAGGGATGGGCGACTGGTGCCCTGCAACTCAAAAATATTTTTTTTTTAAAAAAAACATCCAATATACATTTTCCCTGAAAAAGTGGGGCGCAAAAACTGGGGGAAATACAAAATATGAAAGCAAAATGTTGAAAAAGGAAAAAAAAATATCCCAAAATACCGAGGGGTAGTTTGAAGTTGTAAAATCACCAATTACCACTAGGTGGCAGACATGTCGTTAGTTGCGCTTACACTACTTTCCTGGGGTGCAAGCAAAAATTTGCAATACGGGCGGCATGCCGCAACCTTTGCAAAATCCGTCCACCATCAATTCACATTGGTTTCCTTGCAGTGGAAGGACATTATCAGTTGGTGGCGCTAATGCACCATTAAGATGCTTTGGAAGACTTAATTTGGTTTCCAGTCAGTGGAGGGCAAATGTTATTGTATGCACTGCAAGTAACACTCAGGCATTCTTTTCAACGGGCAATATTAATGATCAGCCAAAGGGAATGAAATTGAAAGAAAAAATGAAATGAGGGAGCAGAGTGCTCTCGTGGTTTGCACACTTGCCTCCCAGTTAGGAGGTTCTGGGTTTCAACCTTGACTTGGCCTTCCTGTGTGGCTTTTACGTGCTTTTCCTCATGCTTGGTTCTCCCTCGACCCGAATGAGGATGGACGGATGTTTCTTTCCGGCAACCGTTTCGAGCCACGCTCCCCCCCTCCCTTCCTCAATGCTCTCTGCAGTCCCCGTTTGATTGCCTTTCATCACTCAGCATCCTCTAGCAACAAAGACCCGCATACCAAGTGAAAGTCACGCAGGCTCACGATACGTGTCCCCCCCCCCCTCCCCCAGCGCATTTACGAAAAACGAATAGACCACCGGGGGATGGGAAAGCAGGCAGCGGGGGTGCCACGATTGCAGACCTGTGTGATTTAGATCAACTGGATGATGTAATCCTTTCAAATCCTGCCCCGCTCGGTGTTTTGCAGCATCTCTGCGCTTCCAATGGAAATGGCTGCATCCTCAAATGCACTCCGCCTTATAACCCGCAGAGCTTTACTTAAAAATAAATCTGAATCTGCTTGCTCGTCCTCAGCGAGACTGAGCAGGATGATTGATATCCCCCCCCCCCCAACCGCTCCCCCTCAAAAAGTACCAGATTGTCCTCCACGTAACCCTGTTGTGTCGTGCGTTTTGTTAAGTTCACAAAGCATCTCCTATGCAAATGAGACGGTTCGCTTGTGTGTGCGCGTGTGCGGAACCCCGCTTGGCAAATTGACGACTGTGCCGCTCACCAAATGCGCAGCGGTGTTTCCTCCTCATATCTGATGGAAGCCTCACTGATCAACTTGGATGTACAGTGTGCATTTGCGTGTTCCGCTAACAGTGCTTGGCATGCGCTGCAATTTCCCAAGCAGCACTCAAATAGGAACTCTATTGGTTGCATTGAAATTGGAGAGAATTGTTAAACATTTTAAGAATGAATACTAACGCTGTATTTTACATGTTCAGGGGGGTGTAAAGAAATAAAATGTTTTCTTGAAACGTAAGTAAGCTTTGCAGTTAGTTCGGTATTAGTGTATCCTCATGCTCCTTGCATGTGTTTTCATTTTATATTTGACCGCCCTGTACACACTCAAGCAGCAGCGTCTCGAAATGTGACTGCTGATAACTTAAACTTTGAAGTTGGGGCACTTGTAAGCAAGACAGTCACAGAATTTGGATTCATTCAAACATTCCGCGCGAGCATTGGGTCGAACCCACACAGGAAAGCCAGAGTTGAGTCTACTTCTCATTTTATTTTTTTCCCCACATCCCAGTGAAGCCTTGATGACATCATCAATAGCGTGTTCGTTTGATGAACCATCCCATAAATGCTTCCTGTGGTGTGTAAGTGCTTTCAAGCGCTATGTGGATGCGACATTTCGTGCCGGTTATGACATCTGACCAATTTTTTTATTTTTTTAAGCATGATTTTATCCTCTAATGACCCGACTATCAGTCCCAGAGAGGCTCCGTGATCCGATGAATCCACTATTGATCTTAGATAAACGCTGACATGGGACAGCTTCGGCTGCCAGCACTGACGCTGATTCATTTTATCTGATCTCCCACTCCCTCTATGCCCCCGCCCCCACACCAAAAAAAAAAAAGATGTCTAATAACACTGCGGCGAGCTTGTTTTGTTTTTGTTTTTTTGTTCTTCATTGGTGCCTGAGATCACGATGCTGCTCATGAATCCTCGATTGACGCGTTTCAGGCTCAGGGCAGATTTTTATGTAAGGTCGATGCATTCACCAGCCCTCTCACATCCTCGCAAATAAGGGAATACACCAACGGCATAGCAGAGGCCCTATTTAAAAAAAAAAAAAAAAACCTTGTTCAATGAAAGTGAGGTTATGTTCCTTGCTAGCGCATCACCATGGCAGCAAAGTCTTTCACAATAGCCGGCAATAATGAGGCCCGTCAGCAAGGCGACAGGCACCATTTTGAGGTGGCGAGAGCAACCGTAAGTGATGGGGAAGATATGCATGGCTAATCAGATCGCATGTGATCCCTGCCCCTGCGACCGCAACTGAGCCTGCGAGCGTGTCCGCAAAACGTTGTGACATCACGGGCGCATCAGGGTGCATCATTGTCCACTCACAAAGCACCGAGTGGGGGGAAAAAAAAGCGGGTTGTATCATTCGCCAAGTATTTATCCGAGCTGCAGTGCAGCATGCAGAAAGGCCGCCCGGCGAAACATTTGTTTTGTTAGTTTGAGCAGCGAGCCATGAGCCAATAAAGCCGCTGAGGGAAGTGGCGCAGTGTGATCTAACAAAGTGCGAGGTAGCGAACCAACGCCAGAGCCATCGATCATACGAGCCGCACGCCGGATGACCAGTGGGCAGATCTACGGTGTCCGTGCAGTCCCGCCAACACTGTGCCGACGATGCTGGACAAATATCGTCCAATGAAAAGCATACTTTTTAAAAAATTATTATTATTATTATTCAACAAGTCATTTCAGTTCATTTTTAGATCAAAACACTCCAGTGTGTGTTTTTCCCTACAGTCAAAATGTAATAAAGGGGGCAGCTTGGTGTACTACCAGTTAGCTCAATGCTACCATACATGCAAAATGCCATAGACTGGCTAGCGAATAGCATTGATGTCACAGCGTGATGCAATTTTAGGAGAGAGACAATGTAATGTGTACTCACAGTCACAGGCATATCTTCTTTATCCTCTGCAAAAAATTTTCCGTCACTTGTGAAACCCTTCTTTGTTTGTGTCTGTATTATTCTGCCCCCTGCTGGCTAAGGCATTCACACCAGAGGCAGCACAACGTGTGGCTCGAACGGCATAGTTATATTTCCATCGAAAAGAGGATTTGAGCTATGACTTCACACTTCACCGAATGTTTGTCTTTTTGGGAGCTGATCGAAGTGATCGCGCTTCTCACTCATGATCCTTGATTTCATCTCTCGCAGGGGCGTATATGCCGGAAAGCAGGCAAGTCCAAGAAGGCCTTCAGCCGTAAAGAAGCCGAGGCCACCTTCAAGTCGTTGGTGAAGACCCACGAGAAGTACGGCTGGGTGTCCCCGCCCGTGTCGGACGGCTGAGCGCCGACCCCTGACCTCCAACATGCAAAATGACACCACGCTAACTCAACAATCTGTCACACTCACCTTTTGCTGTAGCTTTTATTTATTTTAATGTGTGTGTGTGTGTGTGTGTGTGTGTTACATGGGGGACTTTGTATTTGATATGCAGACAAGCGATCACTTTCACATCATCATCACCATCACTGCCCTCACCCTCGCCCAGGGAAATTCTTTCCCCATTTTGGGAAAGGCCTGAGAAGGAGGTCTGTGTGTGTGCGCATTCGGGAATGCATTTCTTGCTTTTCCTCCATCTCGATGTATTTTTTTTCTTCTTCTCGTGCACATGCAGTTGGACCCTGTGTGGACTTTTGCAGCCGAATGAAGCGGACTCATCCCGCTGTGGCGCTCGCCTTGCCCTCCCCACGCCTGAGCCCTTCCCTCCTCTTCCTTTCGGCATTACTCTCGGTCGTCTGCCTGTGGCTGCGGGTTCATTTGCATATAAATGAAGCCGTTCATGTTTAATAGACGGGCGGCGCGCCGACTTCTCCGCTTGTTCGCTCCTTCGTTTCTTCCCTTTTTTTTCTCCCTGTCGGCTGTGCGGTTGCCCACACTTGGATGCAACATGAAGATTGTAATGTACATGGAGCTGTGCTCTCTCTCTCTCTCTCTCATATCCTTCCAAGCCCGCTCGCCCACTGTCTTTCTTTTTGTCTCGTGGCTAAATTTAGCGCTCACTGTTGCATCGATGAATATTAATTTCTAATGGAAGGGGGGAAAAAAAAGTCCCATGTTGCATTATGCAGAAACTTTGTACGATACATAGAATGATCGTCACTCATTTCGCTGTGCGTGTTGGTGAGGAAGAAGACTGCCCTCCTCATGATTTCGATGAAGGTTTGACTTCATTTTGTGTGGGCATGCGTGAAAGGGGCACAACCCTCTTAAAACGGACAACTACGAACTGTGAATGACACAAAGGCCTCACGAGTTACTGTTTGTAAGGGAATATGCGTGTGTGTTTGTGTTTGGTGTGAAACCAACCAAAGTCCAGCAGGAAATCCGCTGTGCGATGAACACACTCGTGCGCGCGCCCGCTGTACCCGCACGGCTTGATATGCAGACTGGGGCTCGCCATTTTGATGAATGTAAGCTCCCGAGCACCACACGACTGCCCAGAGAGAGACATCCGGGGATATTTGGGAGAGGGCAAGCCGAGAGAACGGGGCGCATGGCGGGGGGGTCGCTTCTCGGAAATGTCAGTGAGTCGTGAGACGGTCAAAACCTGCGTCTGACTTAGCCCAATAGCAGAATTGCCTTTGAGCTGTCGTAAGAAAAGCTTCAGGAATGGTGTGACAAAAAATTGATTTCTGACCAAAACTGCAAAAGCGATCCTGCCTCATTTGTTTCGTGAATTTTTGAAGCGCCGCCATTGTGGAGCATCTGACGGTTCCTTTCCGAAAAGAGCTAGCATCACAGTGCCGCGGCAACGTTTTTCACCACCCCTGATTTTAAGCACAATGGTGTTTTGTTTTGTTTTTTTGTTTGTTTTTTTATATATGAATATCGTGAGCGTCCCTTCAAAAAAATCACTTGGGCACTTATGCTATTGGGCGCAGGATATGCTAGACATGCAGTGATGTAAGAATGTTCCTCCTCAATGTAGAATCGACCGGAATGTGCATCCCGATACTTTGAAGTCCACACGGTGTGTTGTCATGCCGCTCGTGCGTCTGCGACTTGTCCTTCCTGTCAGCTCGGCTTCCACTTCTGCCATGTGCCAGTTAAATGTCAGAGACAAAGCTGCTAATTGGGCTGACATTTCTGCCAAGCGTCATACGATCGAAACGGGCGCTTGAGTGCGAAAGGATGGAGGATGTCAACCTCCCGCTCGGCTCCCTCCTCCGCCCGCTGGCATTTCGGTCCGTGACGCGTAGCCCTGTGGCGTTTGTTTTAGTCGCGGAAGGTACATGTGTGTATGTGTGTGTGTGTGTGTGTGTGTGCGCGTGCGTGTGTGGAGGGGGGCGGGGGGTGCAGAAATACTGTAAATTGACTTCATATTCTACCACAAAATATCTCTTAGCTGAGTGTTTGCTGGTTTCAAGTCAATCATTTTGGTGATCTCTAGATTTAGACTGGTAGTGAGCAGACACTGAGCTGGTTCTGTTGTATTCTATTTGCATGTCAATTGTGATTGGTAGCTACTTACTGTATATTTTTTCTTTTTTTTTTTCTTTTTCAAGAAAAGTCAGGAAAAACTGGAGATAAACAAAAAAAAAGCAAAATGCTTCTCGTTCTTTTTTCGCTTTATTTTTGAAGAGGAGCTTCTGTACTGTGCGTGTGTGTGTGTGTGCGCGCGTGTGCGCGCTTCTCTTTTGATGCGTCCTCCAATGTCATATTGTCTTCTATGAATGTTTGTTTTAATTTATTTGGGATTTGCCAAAAATGAAGATTTGAAGCATGATGCCGGTATTGCCACAAGAAAAAGAAGGGAAGGGGGGAAGGAAGGAAAAAAAAAAATCTTACCACAAAAGGGATTTGTGTTTATGTGGACAACTGAAGGACAAAGTTGCAAAGCCTCAACACCTTAAAAAAAAAAAAAAAGGGACTTTTCCCTTGGAAGAAAATCCTGCCCCGGCTTAAAAACAAATTTGCGACAGGCTCCCATCAAATCACACCTGACCCCTTCCGCCCTGCTGTGATTTGGCTTCATGCTCTTAAAACTTGGATAAAAATACCCCCCACCCCCACCACAACCGCCCTCAATCACAGATGTAGGAGCAGTCTGAAGCTCCCAGTGCTTCACATCTCGTGTACGATATGGGCATGTGCACATCAGACCCGAGATCACCGACTCTGGACAGTTCCATTCCCCTGACTTGATTGTTTGGTCGAAAAAGTGGGAAGAGGCTCTGTTTGCAAGACCAAACCAGAATGTGCAATAAAATACACAGCATATTCAAAAGTGGTTGTATCGTCTGGTTTTTGTTTTTCATCTGCATGAAACTCCAGCCTAGCGCCGTAATTTGTGAATTCCTATTTCTGGCTGTAACACCCCCCCCAACCCACCTTTCGTCTAGTAAAACTGCACATTTGACAGTGGCCTTTTGTCATTGGCAGCCAAAGGCACACCTGTGCAATAACAGCACCTTTTGTCAAAAGGTGACATATTGGTGTGACTTTTCAGCGTTTGATGAACCAATATGACTCCTCACGTCAATTCAATCCGGTTTTTGTGTGTAGTGAAGCTTAAGAGTTACCTGAGCCAACCATCTTAAACCAAAACATTTTGAAAGTTTGAATTGGAATATAGTTGCATATTCCATCGGGTTATTTATTCATTTATTTTTTTTTTTTGCAAACATTTACAAAATTGCCCACAACTCAGATTCTGTCCACGTCAGCACATGCTCAGCAGCTTACAACAAACACAATTCTGCTGGAGTGTACAAATTGCACAAGAGCCAGTTCTCACACACACACACACACACACACACACACGCACACACACAGACACACACACACACCTTAACACACCATCATCATTGCAAATGAACCCTAATTAATGAATCCCCTCCGAGCGCCCTTGTTTTTGTGTAGCTGATGCTCGCCACTGCTCATTAGCGCGGCAAAACCTGGGCAGCATATGGAATCCGTACTATGGATCTGCCTCAGTGAGCGAAATATTGACGAGGGCATGGTGTGAACTCGCCGTGCACACCGGCGCGTGCAAAAGCTGCAAAATATTCTCATTAGTCAATAGCGTCAGCTCGTGCACAGGACTCTTGGGGGGGAAAAGAAAAAAAAACATTCACTCTTAAATTCAGGCAGGTCTGATATTCCATTCCGCAAAGGTTACTTCAGTTTGAATTTATTGATAGTGTTTTGCTTAAGTCGTGCGCTTTGTTTGCTACTTTGGATTCGTTTCATTATTAGGACTATGTTTTGGATTTAGTTTTCTGTGTTTTATCAATATACTTCTTCAAGCTCACCCTGCTCCTCCCTCCTGCCAGTTTTTTTGGGGGGTCCACCACCACCTCGCAACGTGACAGAAACATGACAAACATACATGACATAACGACCAACAGGTGTGCAGCTGCAGGAAGAGCCCTACAGTGCCACCTGTTGGTCACAAACAGAATCATGACAGCCAGAAAAAGTAGCAATGAGCTGAAGGGGAAAAAAAATTGTTGAATTCTTTACGTTTTATCGAATGATGTCATTACTATGTTTTTTTTTCATATTAAGCATGGCTCGCGCAACCGCTCATAGCATTCAACGGTTAAGGTTTCGGCCAGTTGGCAGAATTTAAAATCGGAAGTGACATTGCCTCAAGGTCCCGAAGCTTAAAGATTACAGCTTCATCTCCATCTGAATCATATTGATGTCATTATATAAGACGTGATTTGCGCATGTCCTCTTTCCGCTCCCCAAACGCAGAGAAGGAAATTTTGGAAGCACGCTGAGAGACGGTGACACAGTCGCTCGCACCTTTTCGTTTTTGACCACCCGCGTCGCACACGTCTGATTTCATGATCAGCTTTGGTATGGTTCACAATAACGACCCCCTCCTCTTTGTGAATGAACTGCACTTCCACGTCCATATCGTTACCGTAAATCCCGCGTTAGTCGTTTTCCGTTAAATTGCTCAGGCTGGTGTTTTTGGGAGGCCGAGCGGACCGCGCCGAGACCCTCGCGCCCTTCATTTGAGCGAGTTCACGGCAGATCGAACGCACAAGCACGTGCCTGGCAAGCGGCAGTTCGCTCTTACGTAAGCTCCGGGCCCGGGATGGCGGCAAGAGTCAGCTTTGGCAGTCACTCCGCCTTCGCCTGCTTTCAGCTTCAGCATCGGGGCCATTCTTAGCAGACGAAAGCGCACTATAAATATTTTATGTGGCCCAGTGCATGTGGGAAAATGTATTTTTAGCAACGCGCGGTGCTTTCACGCGTGGCAGCCTCGCTCTTCACCGATGCGCATCCGTCAACCAAACCGCCTGCGTAAATGCGTGCTGCGTTCTATCGAAGTATCGATGTGATGCTGATGTACGCCAGTTGAGTCGTTCAGGATTTGCCTGTCGTTGGGCCGTTTGAATGGATCGATTTCACCGCGTTACAAATGTTCAGTCTACACATCTTGGCCATGTTATTCGAATATGAAATGAGGTCAAATGTTCACACTGTAACGGTGCTGCCAGCAAAGGCAGAGCAGAGTCACATTAAACCTGAACAGGGTGAAAGGGTGAAGTCATGATTCGTCTTTTTTTTTTTTTTTCCTTTCTGGTACATTTTGTTCCAGGTCTGCAAGCGGCCGTCTTGAGGACCAATAATTGCCACTCTGCAGAATGCCCTCCATCTCACCTTGACCAATCGTGTGGAATGGCCGTGATCGTGTGTGAGATACAGCAGCACATTAAGCTGATTTATTGAGCCACTCTCTGGTAAGAGCCTTCCCACACGCGCACACACACACATGTGAGCAGGTACATATAGCTTCCCTTAAAGATTCAATTGGGAGAAAGTGTAACGAAGCAACAACTGCTATGGCAACAACGCGGCCGGATGTCGACTTTCCCTCCACCCCAGGCTCCTCCTCTCTTTGCCCTCCTTTCCTCGTCTCCTTCCTGCCTGGCGTCCGTGCTGACTGCTAATGAGGAGCGACGCTTGGGCCAAGTGTGAGAATGAGAGTCGGGAATGCAGAGTGCCCTTTGTTGGCGGCTGTGCATGAGTTAGCATTTTTTTAGGGGGGGTGTTGTGGGGAAAAATAAGGGAAAGTGGGAAAACAAGATCAAGCGAGGGATGTTCTTCAGCTTCTCTTCTCTCGCTCTGTCTGTTACTAGGCAACACCTGCAGGCATGCACTAAATAAAGCCTTGTGTCGGCCACTAGCCCCCGCCCGTCATCAACGCCCACCCAACCACCCGCCTCCACCCACCTTCCTCCTTGCCAACTCCAACTCTCACTGCTCATCCATTCAATCAATGTCTTCTTCCTCTGCTTGTCCCTCACCTCTCCTGGTACTTAAAACGGCCCCCTCCCTTCCCACTCCCACCATCAGCCTCCTTGATGACAACGTCCCATTTATATCAGGCATTTCAGGAATTTCTCACATTATTGCCCCCCCCCCCCCGAAAAAAAAAAAACAGCATTCTGACTTTCAATCTTAAGGCGACATAATGCTGCGCAGCTCCCGCGGCGTCAGGAAAGAAGCCGAGTTTTCCACGACTTCTCAGACAAGTTCAAGCATTTAAGAGAGCTAATATTTTGGTATCAAGCTAACCACAACACTTTAAATTAGTTTGTCACGCGTAAAAATAAATAAATGAATCAATCGATAGATAAGCCGGACCCGCATGGAAACTTCCCAGTAGTGTCAGTTTGTGGAAAATATGAAATTGACCACAGCCTGTCCAGGAGATTGTCGTACATAGAGCATCAGTGGCATGTTTACTGAAACAATATTACATAATTACATTTCTTGTAATTTATGAATGACGTGGGCCATCTGTCCATTAAAAAATATATATATATATATATATATATATATATACATTTGACCCTCGAGCACAAAGTTATCTCACCCCTCGTTTAAATAATTTGTGATTAAAATACAATACAGGATGTGAGTGAATGGCTCTGGCCTTAAAGTCCATTTGCAGCGGGGTGCCATTTTCACCCGTTTTGGTGTATCATGACCAACGCGGGCAGCCAAAAGGCACGGCAAAAAAAAACAAAAAATAGGCATCCCTGTAGCTTCGTGTGCCCTGACCTGCAGCTGAATAGCTTCAAAGCATTTTCAGCCTGGTGCGATTATGTGCAATTTTGACAGGTCTGCAATTTTATGTTCTTCAGCCCGCCCTGTCTGTCATTTTTTTTCTGAGATGTCTCAAAAAGACCACATTAAAAAAAACAAAAAAAAAACTAAGAACTGAGTCGCCTTCCTTTCAAGAAAGAAATCCCACTTGTCAATAAAATAACAAATGACAGCGTAATCATGAACAAACATGTAGGCTGTGCTAAAAATTAACTGAACAAAACAGGCACAGCTTCTGGTTGTCCCACGCAGCTTCGCTATGCAACAAACAAACGTGTGTGTGTGAGTGTCTGGGTGTGAGCTGTGGTCGACAATAGCTCCCGCGTGTGCGCTGTGAGTGACTTTGTCGTGTCCTGTTGTCCTGCCGTGACATGTCGAGGGGAAGCATTGACGTTCTGATCCCAAGAGGTAGCTGGATAGTGTTCCATAAGTGTGTTTTGTCGCTGCGCCTACTATTCAGCAGGTGCAGGAAATGGAAAGAGCACCGAAGTGCGCCTCTCGAGGCCAAATAGAACCGGGCGCCTATTTGTTCATCTCTTTCATTGTGTAACACGCTCCAGCAGCTCTTAAAGGCCAGAGATGTCATTCGGGAAGACAACGCCGGCGTGCACAAGCGCAGAGGTGCACGCGCGTTTCGCTGAAGTCACAGGATTAAATGGTGTAAAAGCTGCAGCGTCACTGGATAAAGTGCAGAGATGGGGGCTGGGGGGGGGGCATGTGTTTAAACGGACAGCCTGCATCTTTGCCATTGTCAAATTTTGCAAAGGATGAGAACAGGCTTTGCACAATTATCAGATAAAGCCAGCAGGCGTAGTCGGAGATTTAGCAACAGATTTTAAAAGGCCTTCCAGTGTGCGTGTGTGAGTGTGTGTGTGTGTGAGTGTGGTGATTGGTTTAATCCAAACACCAGAGTCTCCTCTGGGTGAATCCGCCTCGCTCAGTCAGTGTAGCGTTGCATAACCGCTCAATTATATAATCCCAAACTATATGCATGTGGACGAGGCTTAGCAAGGCAGCGAGTGGGCACAGAGCATGAAAGCGTCTCACATCAGTGGGGACCACTGCAGGAAGAGGAGGAGCAAAAAAAAAAATGGGATGAAGGGACAAAATGCACCTACCTCCACTTTACTGTAAAGCTGCCCCATAAAATAAAGAGAACAGAACGTGATTGGATATCTCAACACCCACATTTGCTGGTTTTATGCTAGCATATGGGACCGACGCCTCACGAAATTAGCATAGCGGTGACGGGAATTATACATTTTGGCACTCTCGGGCACATTCTCCTGCATCAAATCATCTTTCCATTTTCCTGAGGCTTTTATCATTTTGCAGAAGCGCTTCGACTTGGGGCGAGGGGAAAGAAAATGTTTTTCATCTTCCCTGACTTCATCTTCCTGTTTGTCACGTTTTAGGAGGGAAAAACTTCAGATTTGTTTCGCCGCCTCCCTCGATCTCAAGATGCCGCGAGTTGTGTTCGCGTCCAGTTTCCTGCCTTCTGCAGCGGAGAGGTGAGAGTCCTTGTTGTCCTAACAGCTGTTGTCACGGTAGCTCCACTGGGCAATCAACACATCTCTCTCATCCATGCGTTCGGCCATCCCCCCAACAAGATACTGCACTGCCGTGTTCAATATATGCGACTTTTGAAATGGCAATTATAACCACCATCCAATTATTATCTTGCAATGATTTGACATGAAACCACAAATCTTTCCCACCTTTATTGGGCTCAATTTCAGGTGTACAAAATGAGATGACGAAATATAAAATTCTTCAACGCAAAACAGGATGAAAGCTTCCACTGCTGGGCAGGTGGAATAGCATTCTTGAAACAAAAGAAACAACAGACCATTGAATTGACTCCCCCCCACATTAAAAAAAAAAAAAAAAAAAAAAGGCCTCTTCCTGGGGAATACCCAAAACATTCCAGCCAAGCTGTCTTCCTCTGAGAGGGATTCCTTCGGTTACGACATTGTGCTGAAGAATAAGCTCCTCCTCTTTCTCCCCCCCCCACACACACACAGCGTAATCTTCGGGAGCGGCCTGCAGCCCTCGGAGCTTCAATGCACTTTGACTAAATCCTCTTCTTTCACTCTCAGACGCTCGTCCGTTGACTGTCGCCATCCATCTTGACTTCCGATGATCCATTCTCACTCCCGTTGTCCAAATCCAGGCCCCTCTCGTCCTCCTCCGCAACCGCCACCGCCGCTTCTTCCTCTTCCTCCTCCTCCTCGCCTTTGGCCTCCTCGTCCGTTGGCTTCTGACCCACGCCCTGCTTGTCCCGGAAGACCTCCACGCCCAGCATGCGTAGGTAGTGGTGCCTCTCGTTGCGAGGGACGAAGGCACGGATGGACGTCTTTCCCCTCCAGCCGCACAGTTGGATGGAACACTGAGGCTCTGCTGGCTTACTGGCAAACGAGAAGGGAAAACGCACAGAAATCGTGACGCTGATCTAATGGTCCCGAACATCACCTTCGCTTTGCCAACGAAAAGACACTCACTTGGGGTTGGGAATGTACTTCAACACAATGCTGCCCATCACTACAAAAGACAACGGTAAAACATAAGAGTGAAGAAACGACGGCCCAAATCTGTTCACGTGAGCCGCAACGTTTCTTTTTCAGCCCACCTATTTTTTGGGCTTGAGCGCGGGCGTCCGCCTCCAATTTGCTGAGGAAGGGGTTTTCCTGAGTCAGCAGCACTTTGATGTCCTCCACACTCGCCGTGATGATCCTCGAGCGAATATACGGCTGCAGAGTGTAGATACCCTGACGAGGGGGGGGGCAAGGGCGCATGCTCAGCAAACCTTAAAATTCAGTTCCGAATGTATTTGGGCGTAATATGATCATCTTCTAAAACGCATTGAGAAAAAAAATGCAGATTTATTTCCTGATGAGTGTCTTAATCACCTCTTGAGCCAGTCTAAAGGCACAACCAAACTCTTCCCCATCGCTGTTACGAGACCACACTTTCACCCCTGTATTGATGATCTAGAAGGGAGTGGAGAAAATAAGGGTTAGCTCCTATTTTTAACATTAGTGATACCTTTCCTGAATATCAGAATCAGGGATTCCATCGTAATTGAGGACAACATTAGGCAGGCCTGAATTTAAAAATTTGTGAAATGTCCCCCCGCTCTCTCGTTAAAATGCAGTGAAACAATTCTGCTGCGTCGGCAGGCATGTCATGCGCACCTTCAGGCGCTCGCTGTTGTTGAGCATCACGTTGCGCAACTCTTTGGAGACCATGTACAAATGTCGCTTCTTGCCCTCGTGGGTTCGGGTCAGCACGTTCATCTTGGGGAAGTTTGGAGACAAGTCGTAGAAGGATCTACATGACATTCAATGAGATACGGTTCATTTTTCGGCCACACATACGGTTAGTTGCACGTCACTTTTTTTTTTTTTTGGATGATTGAAGACTCACTGCATGGTGGAGAAGACGGGGTCATCTTCACTGAGGAACACAAAGGGATCTTCTTTGTATCCAAATAGCTTCATCTTTTTGGAGGGTGGAGGTCTAAGAAACACACACACACACACACAAAAAAAAGTGAAATCTATTTTTGTTTACCTGTTTGCAGTTTCGTCAAGCGGTGTGACTCACCCGCACACGCCATCTTGTTTGGCGCTGGAAGAAGCTCCTTTGGGTGCTCCCGCCTGGGCCTCCTCGCCGCCGCCGCCGCCGTTGCCTCCTTCCTGCATCTCCTCACCCTCGGGGAGACAAGGAGTCTCTGCCGGAGCCACCGGAGAGCTTTGCGTTCGGGCTTCGGCGCTAGACGAGGCCTCTTTCCTCAGCTGGAGGCGAGCGGGACAAGTAAGTGTAATTTGTTACCAGCTGTGATAAGGAGAACTGAACGGGCGAGCGGCGGAGTGCTCGCGGGACAAGTGCGGGGCGGGAGGAGGGGGTGATCATCATTTTTCTCCTCTTCCTGCTGAGAGTGACGGTCAAATTATCCATAATTGTGAATGAGAACGTACTTTGGGATATCTTTTGTTCCAGGGCATCGGGGCTTTCTTCAGTAGCACAGCCACAAAGAAACCTCCCGTGTTCTGGTGATGTGGCAGAATCCTCATACTGACAAGACAAGACGATCTTAAAATCTGGCAGTTCGGTTTCACTTCATTCGATCAAAAAAAAACATTTATTTTCTACCAACTTGATCCATCCAATACCTGTGACATACACTCACAGCCGGAACAATTAAATGCTCTCCCACGACAAACTCATCGCTTTGCGTTTTCACTGAGGAAGTCAATTTGTGAGTAAAGCTGATCTTTTTTTCTTTTTTTTTTTTTTGTGACATTTCTGTTCCTTGATGATCTTACAAGATCTTGCTCATGTAATTTGCTTGGTTGGTAAACACCAATCTAATACACACACACACATCCGCTCCTCTGGTTTTGTGCCAACAGGTTCGCGCAGACAGAGTGAATCATGTGGCAACAGTGCCATCCGCAGGCCACAACTTTTCACTGTCGTCCAACTGTGATGTCATCGCTCCGTCAGAAGACGGGCGACATTGGTGTGCGTGCGTGCGTGCCCCGTACCATCTCTCCAGGTGCATGCCAGCCAGCTTTTCTGCATCTGTCGGCGCGAACATGGTGGGTCGGATTTGAGTGTGGCGACTGGTGGGAACTTCCGACCAGTCAGTGTACCACTTGCCCTCTTTCGTCATCAGCTGGAGAAATACAACAACTGCATTCAGCACGCGATCGGGCCATTCGGCTTCCAGTCATAGCTATGAAAATGGCCTCTTTGGTTGCTGCTGTCGTCGTCGTACCTTCCAGGAAGTCACCCCGGGCATCCACTTCAAGCCGGGCAGGTCAGAAGAGCAGTCGACCAGCTCCAGTGCTCCTTGTAACATCAATGGCACAAGCAGTGACGTAAGGCTTCCTATACTCCCCCCCCGCGCCGCTTTGACATGTTCAGTTTCAACCCCCCAATCGTTGTGTGCCTTATCGTAACATATAAACATTTATTTCACCGAAAAGGAATAAAACGATTGTAGTGTAATTGATCTTAAGGGCACACACACGCATCAGTCTTCCTGTGTTGAAAAGGGGCGTGGCCTAGTGAGCGACATCAAGAGCTCTCCTGCAAATATCCTGCATCCTAAACAACAGATGTAGTCCAAAATCAAAGTCCCCGAGTGTTTGATACCTTCGCTTTTCTCCAGGAGTGCCGCTATGACAGCTTCATCCTCAATGGGGTTGAGAGAACAGGTGGAGTAGACCATCCTGCCGCCGACGGCCAGCTGTTCCACGCCGCGCACGGCAATACGCATCTGGAGGCTGGTACGTGGAAACACACACTGTAACACTGCCAACTTTTATAATTAGAACCACAAGAGCACTCTCCACCGTTCTGCCATTAAAAGCTATTTGATTTACTGCGGGGGAAAAAAAAAAAAAAAAAAGTAAGCACTCGACTACTTAAGAGGCCGCTTAAGCACACAATCGCTGCCTGCGCTCACCCGTGAAGGTGCAGGCTGTTACTGGTCGTCCACTTCTTCCACACGTCTATGTTCTTCCTCATCGTGCCGTCCCCGCTGCGTGAATACCCAGCAGACCGCAGTGGTCACACACATACTCAATTTGTCTTCACATTTCAAGCGGGGGGTGATGCACGATGTTGTCCATAGCACCGGGCCCGATCTTTTATCTTTTGCATCTACTCTTTCGAGATGTCACATGTTGTTGCTAAGTGGCAGTACAACCACATTGCAAAAACAGAAATTAAATTAAAGGGGGGGCGCAATGCAAGTTTCTTCTGACCTGCAGGGCACGTCGCACAAGATGCGGTCGTAGAAGAGGATGTCCTTCTTTCCGTCACAATCTTGAATCTGCAGCATGGGGAAGCAGGAGGCGTCATGGTTGACCACCATGATGCAGGGGCTGTTGAGACGCTTGGCCTGGTGCACCAGCAGGTAGCAGCGTTTGTTGTCCACGTCGTTGGCGATGACGAAGCCCTCTGAGAAAAATTAGCGTACGGTCATGCCTCGACTTGTCAGTGAGCCCACTTGTCACGCAAATCACCTTTCCTCACTGAAATGAATGTAAATGTCATTAATCCGTTACACCTTCTGTTCTGTGTGCCTAGGCCACTAAGGGGCAGTAAAATGACACTGACACATTACCAAAGAAAAGGACAATATCTCAAAAACCTGATGCATTTGGGGGAAAAAAAAAAAGAACAATATTTTTTCAATGAACATCCAAAATGATATTTTCGGGGTCCAAGAAGCCATCTCTGATGACGGATTGTTTCATACCTGGAAAGGGCACATCCATGTCAGAATGAAGCATTTCAATCAGTTGGGCTGTTTTTGAGCCAGGAGCTGCACACATGTCCAAAATCTTCACAAAACATTCGTGTGTGTTAGTGCTGTGATGACATGGCGCATTCCCCGGCACAGATACGCAGATCATGTCCATTCATTCATTTACTTACTTATGGAAGGCAAATTCCTTCCGAATTTCAATATCAAAAATCACTTGGCTTGTTTGAATTTTCTGGTTTTCGTTGGCAATAAGTCAAATGTAGTTTTCCAAGATATTCAGATTTACGGCAGGCACCTGGTCTATACGGCCACAGTCAACTCAGTGACACATTTGGCTCTCTTATTACCTTGTGATGGGACTCAATCTTCAAAAGAAGTGGAGGGATCATACTGACGGCTTCCTGGCGGCTGATGTTACCCTTTGAAAGGTAAACACAAAACAAGAACAGAATCTAGAGTCTGATATTTGGTCATCTTTAAAAAGTCACACATTTTTCAATGCTTCTGTTCTCTTCGCACAGAAGACTCACCGACTCCGTTTCACTGACAAGAAACTGATGGAATTTCTCCAGCAGGGGACACTTCCTAATAATCTTACGACTCATGTTGGTGTGCCAGGCTTGCTCGTCGGGATACCTGGGAAAAATGGGTGGAGTGAGTGTTTCTTGTAACAGCGCTTGCACTCATCTCAGGATGAAGATTACCAGCTGAGAGGCTGCGGCGCCTCGATCTTCTGACCGTCGATCTCCAATTTCTCAATGTCCTTAAAGTACTTTTCCTTCAGGCAATGAAGGATTTCCTTCGCGTGGCTGGAACCAGGAAGAGAGGGAGAGACGCGAACTCAACTTTCCCCCATGAAATGCATTAAAAGAAAATTATTTCTATTTCAGCCCCCCCAAAAAGATGAATATTTTGTGCATGTACATGAGTGACTGACTGTCACTCTCCTTTTTTGACTGAATCCCCACTATAATTACCAGTACTTTATGTTGAAGCGAGGGGAGGAGCTTCATTTAGTCAGGCCATAGCCTTGTTGAGTAGAGAAAAATAAAACTGCACGGCTCCATCCCAATCCCACACGAATTGTGAGAGTTCGCTAGAGTGTATCCATTTTACCTTTTATATCCAGTGATACGTATGGTGGCTGGAAGCGGTTCCCTCATTGCGTTCATAAACTGTTCAAACTCTCCCTCTGGAACCAAGCCTTGTTCCTTGTAGTAGTGCTCAAACAGCTTATTTTCTTTCACAATGTCAGCATAACCGGCACCCCAACCCTGCAACGCAGACAAAGTGTTGTCATCAGGTTTTTGAGATAGTTGTCAGCTTTTATTTTATTTATTTATTGCAATCAAGCGGATCGGCCGCATTTGAATGAACATTTAACATTTAGCCTGTAGTCATCAAGCAAATAAAATGATCTTTTGTGTTGCAATGGATTAGTTAATTGAGAACAGGTTTTGCTTTCAGTTATGATTGGTAGGCTGCAGTATAAAACACATCAGCTAGTTCAGTAGGTTGGAGATGGGACCTACTAACACACTCGTCTCAACACTTTTTCACCAAGAGTTAGAGCAGAAGAGTGACTCTTACAGCGTTGTCTCTGTGGTCTCTGCCTGCAGGCTGGGTTTTCTGCCTCTGTCTGCTTCTTTTCCCCATTTTGGAGAAGGTTACAACTCTGGAGTTAAGTATGCGAAGCAGCTTTGTAAGCACAAATACCCCAAAGTGGTGTGCAACTTTGGTAAATAGCAATATACTGTACGTCGACCCACAAAGCCGCTATGCTACGCTATGTTAAAACCCTGCAGCGTGTGTAGTTTCTGACGCATTTGAATCAGGACCCTTCTTAACCATCGACCAAATATGCCTGAAAGAAATATAATTTGGCAAAATCACTTGCTAACACACTGTATATATATCTAGACAGACGCACGTTATTTTTTAAAATATATGTTTGTTTATTCAACTGAAATGAGGACATCTCATTGTGGTGGAGCGGGGGGTGTTGACGTTAAGATCAGTATCGTATCATTTCTTTCTTCAAGACATATTAAAGATGTCTTTTTTTTGTATGCTTGTATGCATGACACGACCCGCAGTGATACCAAACAATATGTGGAATTACTGTCATGCAGCTCCACGGACGCTATGTTATAGATACCGCCTCTGGGGCTGACTCATACGTTGATTTTACCGCCGTATTAGATGTGGCAAAGGTAACCTTCACCGGTACAGTGTGTATTCTCGCGAGAGCTGTCTTTTGACTTCACCAGTCGCCGTACTTTATCACATCCATGATGGCAGCGACGTCTACGTACGGTTTAGCGGCCTAAGCGGTATCTCTGGATGCATGCGTGTATATTACGGCGAAACCACCATTGACACAAACGAAGAAGAACACGAAGTTCTAACCGGAAGTGTACATCTTTTAGCTCACGGTATCAAGTTAGGTTGCTAGCTTTTCTCTCATTGAGTCTACAGAAATACTTGGTTATTCTCGACAAAAGAGGATACCATTTAAATATTTGTACTTTTTTACTGTTCACTTTTTTGTTATTTATGTCCTTTATAAATGAAGTAATGCACTGTATCTCGAGCTGATTTTGCCCATAGTTTGCTTGCCTTGTGATAGCTTTTTTTGACAATGAGTGGCGAAGTACAAGAAAAAGCGAAGGTAAGGTAAAATCCACGTGGTAACTTATGTTTGAATTTCAATTGGAGAGTTATTTACTCAGTTAAACAGCAACGTAAGTGACATCTTGTTTATGTATATACTCACAGTATTATGCGGGAGAGCAGTGAAAATTTTAAAGGCAAACAGACATGAATGTGATCCCAAAACGGTTTTTGGAACGGCGGGCTTGTTCTGCTGTTAGGGTAGGAACCGGTGGTATGCAGCCACTAAACTTTAAAAATATTTTTCATTGAGAATAGAGCAAAGGGAGAGTGACTGTTTAAAGCTAATACACGAGTCCACAATAAGCTGGATGTCAACCGACAAGAGTTTTAAAGAATTACATCTTAGTGCCTTTGCAAACCATCCTATCTTAAAAAAACCCCACAGAATTCTGAGATGAAGCAAGACACAGAGGAGTCGGTCACCCAGGACAACGAGGATGCGTCAACTACAGGTGGCGGGACAGAGCCCCCCGTGGCTTCAAAGGACAGCAGTAGCAGCAGCCCCAAAGAGTCTGCAACGCCGCCTCAAGGAGATGAGGCAGCAAGTGAAGGTAATGTGCTGCTGTGTAGAGAACCTGCAGGAACAAGTACAACTTGGCCTTGCATGGCATGTTGCGGAACAACATGAAGGGCTGCCACTCGATATCTGGCTTGCCCTGTAGAAAGCGATCGCTTAAAAATCCGTAATATAGCCGTGGGTGCAATGTGATACTGCAGGAGTTCACTGTAATGAATTATCATGTCCAACTTTTCCTAGAAGACAACGCCAAGCAACTAAACGCGTCAAATCCGAAATGTGTTTCTGCCTTGCGCATGCATTTTCTTCTAACCAGCGTTTCTACCTCCTCAGCAGCGGCAGCTCAGTCTCGCGACAAGGCCAACGAGCTGAGCCGCCAGCTGGAAGACATCCTCAGCATCTACTGCAGAGAGAGTCTTTCGGACGATGCCGGCGCCCTCGCCAACGGCCAGTCGCATAGCCTCGAGCTGAATGGGCTGACCGATGACAAAGAGGACAAGAGGGCCAGGGCGGGAAAAGTCAAGGGGGGTGCTGGCGGTGGAGACAAAGAGCAGAAGAAGACGCAGGACAAGAAGAAAGTGAAGGGTCTGGGTGAGGAAGCGCTCTTAGTCGAAGTACAGATACTGTAAAACAAAAGCGTACAAGTACTGATTCAACCCGGTGACGCGAAAGTAATGAAGCACAGTCTGAAATGTTGTTGGGTAAAAAAAAGAAAGCTGGTGAAAAGCAAATGTATGAATTGGCTTCTCCATTTTTTTGTGCTTGATACAGGCAAAGAAATCACCCTCCTCATGCAGACTCTCAACACTTTGAGCACACCCGAGGAGAAGCTAACAGGCCTCTGCAAGAAGTACGCCGAACTGGTGAGCGTTTCCCCTCTCGCCTTCCTTCTTCGCCATGAGCTGACGTTTCAGTTCCTCGAATGGCGTTTGTGTGCGTCGTCGACAGCTGGAGGAGCATCGAAACAGGGAGAAGCAGATGCGAGCGCTGCAGAAGAAGCAGACGCAGCTGGTGCAGGAGAAGGACAACCTGAGGACCGAGCACAGCAAGGCCATCCTGGCTCGCAGCAAGCTGGAGAGCCTCTGCCGGGAGCTGCAGAGGCACAACCGTACACTCAAGGTGCTCAACACGCACAGAGAAGAGACCACATGACTTCCTTTTGACTTCAGAGTGGTTTAAAGGGCAATTAGGCACTATAGCACTACCTACTGCTTTGGCATGCACTTGACTTCCAGTGCAAATAATTCTAAAAAGCACAGCTGCATTTGTGTAATTTAAAATGTCATGATTGACTTTATTTACGTTACAACTTCAAAAATACAAAACTTCAGAAATTACTGAACTGTCTATCTCTGGGAAAACAAAAAGAAATCATAAAAAAAGAAAAAAAAACACTACACATTTTGGGGTATATTTTAGATTATAAGAACACAATGTTATTCTCTATTGTAGTAAGATTTTTATGTTTAAATAACCTGCTCAGAAAAAATAAAGGGAACTCGTAAACCGCACAATGTAACTCCCGAGTGTTCCCTTTATTTTTTTGAGCAGTATTACTTGTCACACCTTTGTTTTTTCCTCTTTTACTTCAAGATTCACTCCTGGTGTCATCCATCCACCGAATTTAAATGTGGATGTTTTATTTATTTATTTATTTATTTTAAGACTGTGGTAGGAATTTGTCTATCTCTGGGAAAACAAAAAGAAATCATAAAAAAAGAAAAAAAAACACTACACATTTTGGGGTATATTTTAGATTATAAGAACACAATGTTATTCTCTATTGTAGTAAGATTTTTATGTTTAAATAACCTGCTCAGAAAAAATAAAGGGAACTCGTAAACCGCACAATGTAACTCCCGAGTGTTCCCTTTATTTTTTTGAGCAGTATTACTTGTCACACCTTTGTTTTTTCCTCTTTTACTTCAAGATTCACTCCTGGTGTCATCCATCCACCGAATTTAAATGTGGATGTTTTATTTATTTATTTATTTATTTACTGTCTCCACAGGAGGAAGGCATCCAGAGGACCCGTCTGGAGGAGGAGAAACGAAAGGAGGTGACTTCGCATTTTCAGGTGACGCTCAATGACATCCAGGTTCAGATGGAGCAACACAACGAGAGGAACGCCAGCCTGCGCCAGGAGAACACGGAGCTTGCCGAGAAGCTCAAGAAGCTCCACGAACAGTACAAGCTACGAGAAGAGGTGCGGGCGCCGCCTTTAGTTGCTAGCGCAAAGCGTTTTCACGCGGCTAAACCAGACTGTACCCGATCAGCATATCGACAAAGTGGTGAAGCACAAGGACCTGCAGCAGCAGCTGGTGGACACCAAACTTCACCAGGCGCAGGAGCTGCTCAGCAAGTCGGAGGAGCGCCACGAGACGGAGAAACATTTTGTAAACGATGACGCGCACGTGAACGCGAGCGTCCGCTTGTCGCTTCGGCTCAAGGTTTCCAACTCTCTTCTCATCATCAGCTGCTACAAGAGGCGCTCGAGTCTCAGCGCATGTGCGAGCTGATGAAGCAGCAGGAAGGTCACCTCAAACAGCAGGTTTCCCCCCCCTAAATCCTCTACCCCTCTGCTCCGTTTCCCCACGACGCCGGCACGATTGAACCCGCGTTGTGTTTTCGTAGCTGTCCCTGTACACCGAGAAGTTCGAGGAGTTCCAGACCACCTTGTCCAAGAGCAACGAGGTCTTCGCTACGTTCAAGCAGGAGATGGAGAAGGTGAGGAGTCCGACGTCGACGCGCGGGCCGAGACGGCGTTTAGCGTTGCCGCCGACAGACTTGGTTTCGCTTCCCTCCACATTTGAGCAGATGACTAAAAAGATCAAGAAGCTGGAGAAGGAGACGGCCATGTATCGCTCCAGGTGGGAGAGCAGCAACAAAGCTCTTCTGGAGATGGCTGAGGAGGTAACGCAGTGCCGCCGACGCAAATGTACAAAAACTCAAACGGCGCTCAACATCGATGAGCGCTGTCGCAAACGGAAAAAAAACGGTGAGTCACTGACAAACTCTCCAGAAAGGTTTACAGTGGACTATAGATGCCGCAAGATGGTGCCAAAGTTCTACTTGTGTCCAAATGAACCTCCAGCGTTGCTCCTTGTCAACACGATAATGGCAAAGTAATACATTTATTGCTTTGGACTCAGCGCAAAAACAGTGCTGAGAGGTGACTTTTTCAGCAAATAACAGAAGACGGGTGAGAATTTGTGAGGCACAAATTTGGAGGCGGAACACGATACAGTAACACCCTCGTAAAACCCCATTTCCCTATTTTCTATTTCTGTTTTCATCTTGTACTACACAAATACTCAGTTGGCTCTTCATCAGACGTGACGGTGTGCGTGCGCAAACATTTAATTTTTCAAACCACTTTATGTTGCACAATACAATTGTGCCAGTGAAATTCGAGCAAGGTTATGTAGTGAAGAGGAGTTCATGTTAACATTTAAATAGACTTGCGCGATGAATTTATTTGTGTTTTCATAAAAGCTGCAAGTCAGATTCTGGTGGGAAACGGAACTTTAGTGCTCATGTTTTCCGCGCAGAAATCCGCGCAAGACCGCGACTTTGAAGCCCTTCAAGGTAAAGTCCAGCGGCTGGACAAGCTGCGCCGCGCCCTCAAAGTGGAACGTAACGAGCTCAACAAGAACGTCCAGAAGCTCAGCGGCACCCCCGCGGCGCCCACCTCCGACTCAGATTGCCCCTCGCCGACACCCACAGACTCCCTGCCGGAAGGCGGCCCGGACGCTGCCACAAGCAGCTTCAGCCACGCCCTCCCCGAATCCAGCTCCCAAAACCCGCCATGTCACGCCGAACTGAACACGGACACCCAAGTGGAGGCGGTTCAGCCTGTCGCCACGCAGAAATGATGATCACTCCGGACCACCCCCACGTCAGAAATCAAACTCACTTTTTTTTTTCCCCTTCTCCAATTCTCGCCTCCGATGGACGTTTTGAAAGCGTCACGTCCACCACCATTTTCAAAGCGTCAAATCGAATCACAGTTTTGAAAGTACCTGACAAGTTACCATTTTGGTTCTATTACCTTTTCGGTAAATTTCGATTTCGATTGACGCTGAGGTACAAAAGTCCATCCCGAGAAGGCAGCCTTTCTTTGATGGAACCCCTCATTTATTCTTGTTCATTCCCATGGAAAGTTTCCAACGTTGAAAATTGATTGAATTTTCCAGCGCGAGTGATAGAAATTCATCTTCATATTGTACTGGTTGATTTCACATTCCCCTTCGACAAACACTTGATTGCTTAAAGAGCCATTCGTGTTACATTACGTGTAGTATTGTGAACGCTACTTGATGGAACTCGATAATGATGTCATTGAATATTAGCCAGTAATATGAAATGTCCTCTCTCTATTTTTGCTGCGCGCGTTTGTGTTTGGGGGACCGCTATGCAAAACACGCTCCCTCGGTTTGATTCTGTGGCCGTCTGAAGTGGAAAGCACTTCGAATGTTGGTTCTTTTTTCATCCTATCCACGCATCTGTCATCCCGTCAAAGCTGGCAAGCTTTGATTGTTACCTCATGTTCAAATGTAGGAGTTGAGTTATTTTTCCTTTGTGTTATTTCTTATTCAGACCTGATTTTCAAAGCTAATAATGACTCTGTAGCACTGGAAACCAGTATTTCCTGACCTTGTCTCACACAACAGATTCGTTGAACACGCAAAGGAACCAAAGATATTCCTTGTTTCTTTTGCTGTGCTTTTGTCTGTCCTGAGACGACTTCACATTTTGTTAAATAAAATATCTGAGTCGTGCAGATTTTTTTTTCCTTCCCCCCCAGCACATGCCTGATCACAACCCCGAAGATTCTTCTGAACTCAACGTTGAATGTCTGAACTAATTTTGCTTTAGTAATTCAGGAGAGAACAACGGCTCTCTGACTTTCCTCCGTCTCAAAGAAGGGAGCAAATTGTATTCATGGTGAGCTTGTTGTACTTGGCATCCATGAAAAGATTGAAATGAAATCATGGACGCTTCTTCTGACGTGTGTTGAGCATCTTGACACGTCATTGATGCGGAGAAGGGGTTTCATGGTTTTTGATGAGCAAAGTTCAGAGGTGAGATGTTCGCCAAAATAAAAGCTTTTAACTATCAAAATATTTTTAAAAGGATTTTTAAATACTTTTTTTTTGGGGGGGGGGCTAATGGATGGATGGATAGTAAGTATTCTTTGACGACGTAAATAACTGCTTTTTTGTTTCATGTCGGTGATGTATTTTGAAAGCCCACCCGGAAGTGCTGTCGTTGCCTCTCTTGTGGTGCCTTGACGCTCGAGCGGCCGCCTGACACAGAGACACAAGGGATGGCTGCGGGAGGAGACAAGTGGACCGGGCCTTTCGCGACTTCGGTAAGCTTCCGAAAGCGACCATAACCGTTTGCCGAGCTGCCCAGTAACCGGAGGTGACCCCACGGTGGCGACTTGCACCTCTGCGTTCCTACCCGCCCTGTTTACACTGCGAGACGGCGAAAATCGACCAGCCAGGCAGCCAGAGACGGTTTTGACAGCCTTTTTGAGCGTAAGTAGCTTGCTCCATTTCAAATGCATTTGTGCTGATTTCAGTCTATGTGCGACTGCCGTTTTTTGCGTCCCCTTGAAAGGACAATGGCCATTTATATGTGAGACCTGCATCCCTGACGTCACGTGGTGATGGGGATGAAGCCACACCCTCAAATAACCCCGCCACATGAATGAATAGCCAGTTGACATTCAATTTCAGTTCCATGTACTAGTAGTCCACGCTCAGATCACCAGTGCAGCAACTACACGTTACTAGTGAGGCAAAACTGTCCACAAGTTGACATCTGCGCGCTACTAGTGAGGTGCTAGAATTTTATAAGGTTACTAGTACTAGTAGCATCTCGTGCACAGTTTTCCTTAAGTAGTAACATGCAATTGACATCCTAGTACTATATACCAAAATGTTCATCTTAAAGTCATGCTAATAGACACTACCCATTGGGAAAATGACGTTACTAGGTAGACAAGATAAAGTGTGTGCAGTACTCAAGCTTTGAGATGAAAGCTGCTCTGAGCATTTATTTAAGTCTTCTGTCATTTGTCATATGAATATTCATTTGTATGTGTTCTTGTTTTTGAGGGTGTGTTTTTTAATTCTTTTATCTCATTTAAAAATGGTTAATTGATTTATTGTAAGAAAACAATTTTTAAAAATGTAACTTTAAATTTCCCGTTGTTAACTGATTGATGATTAAATACAGTTGAATGAATTCGAAATAGCACACGAAAAATGGATGTCTTATTGTTTTATATATAAAATACACTTCCAAATATATTTAACCTTTTCCGCAAACAATGTGGCCCTTCAGTCCATTTTAAAAATCAAATGAGCACAAGTTTGCCCATCCTTGATTTACATGCATGTTGTGTAATATTTATTGCATTAATTTAACCCCCCCTTCTTTCTTAAACTTTGTGATCAAAAACATGTTTATTCATGTAACATCTCCTTTGTATTTATTTCTCTCAAAGAGTAAATTTTGAGTTAATTCATTGTAATTAGTAAAGTCGGTTAGTTTCCCTGCCGTATCAGTCTGTTTCGGCGCAGATGAATGTCCTCTGCAGTGATGTTTTGCATGATTTAAAGCATGCTGCTGGCAGACAGCACACCGCTGAGTCAGCGACACTCAACTTCAAGGCGGGAGGCGCATTGATCGCAGGAGACTTTGGCTTTACAAAACATTGATATGATTTCAATGGTTGTTCCTCTTACACTAAGTGGTTGTGCGTTTTGTCGTTCTCTCTCCGTCAGCTCAAGAGGCCCATGGCCACCGTTTCCTTCCGCCAGTGACAGGTGAGTCAAGCTGGCCTCCCCGGGTCCCTCCCAGCCCCCTGCTCCGGATCCGGACCCGGACCCGGGCCCTGACTGGGCGCACAATGATGAGGATCAGTATGTCGGGGAGGGCGAATCCAGTCAGCCTGACATCTTCAGGGCCCTCTCTGACTACAAGGACGCGGAGACCATCACAGGTAAAACATCAGGTTGTAATCTAATTCCCCGAAGCCCCACAAATTCATGTTTGCCATTCGCAAATTCGCCCTATTCGTGGATTTTTTTGTGAGGGGGCGGCGGGGGCTATCATCTGATATTTGCTGCAGAACTCTCCTGAGTCAATCAGTTTTTCTTCGGTGGCACGATGTTGGCGTGAGGTGAGGAGCTTCTTTGATATTGCGATATGCCTTTAGATGTGTGCAACAGCACCGACTTGCCCGAATTTGAGATTATCAGCCTCCTGGAGGAGCAGCTGCCAGTTTATCGCTTGCGGGCCGACACGGTTTACGGCTACGACCACGATGACTGGCTGCACACGCCCCTGCTGGCCGCCGACGCCCCGCTCGACCTGACCACCGAGCAGATAGAAGAGACGCTCAAATACTTTTGTAAGTCTGCGCAGTTTCACCTTTCACGCTTTAAATCATATATTGTAGTGCACAACCGGGGTTGGACGAGTTTTTGACTTTTCATGAGAGGTACTTATTTTGCTTAGAATTTTTAAAAATTCAGTGACTTTTCATCCAGTTTTAGAACCAGTTTGTTGGTTTTATTAGTTTAAAAAAAAGGTACATTTTGGTTCCGTTTTTCTTTTTTTTTTCAGTATATGATGTATATCGAGTGCAAGATTTTAAAAAAAGTCAATAAGCATTGTGTAATAAAATTAAGTAGACCATAATTCTCAGACAACTGAAAGATGTACTCCACTACCAAATGAATCCAAGGTCGAACTGATAACGCAAGTTATTGATGATACATTTATGCAGGGGGCAGGTATGCCAAAAGGTGTGAAATTTGATTTATGCAGTTTAGGATGATGTGGCCTGGATGGGAGGTACAGTATTTCCTCCACAGGTCTAGTTCTCCAAATTTAGGAAAATACTCAATTGGTCGCCTCAGAATGTTACATTTTAGTAACCGGTTGAACGATGGCCCATCCTTGGCCCAGCCATTGGTCTCCTCTTCCAAAAGTGAGCTCCACGCGACTCGTTCACTCTCTCTGGCTCCACCGGTGGGGCGGGCGGGGGCGTGTGGCACCGAGAGAGGGACAGCATGAGAACGTGACTCGCCGGTCGGAGTGGAACTCAAAGGGGAGATGGGAAGTGAGAGCGGGATGGAGACGTTAAGAAGGGATGAGTCGGACGATTGGCGTTGTCCGGAGAAGAAGAAAGGTAAAAGACGTCACTGTGTGAGGTGTTTATTTGAAATAGAAATTGCAGTTGACCAATGATGGTGCAATACTGTATGCAGTGGGGGGGGGGAGGTTGTTTGTTTAGTTTCACTTTTAGAAGAGGTTTGGTCATTTTTATTTTTTTGAAAATGCTTCATTTAATTAAAACTTTGTTTTTTTTTTTGTTTTTTTTGGTAGTATGTACATGGCAATTGAAATATGTGCGTCGCAAACTGTAGTTCTTGCAATGTCGCAGCGAGCTGATCATCGATTGGACAAAGTCAATAAGAGTTAGCGCCTGCGGGTTGTGCGCCATGGAAAAAAAACATCAACAACATCATCGGCGTCATTGCTGACGAAAGCCTCGCACAAACTTGACCTGGCCGCTACCTCTGAAATGAATATTCTGGAAAACTGCGGAGGTTGCGTCATGTCTCTTTGTGCGTCCTCGCTAACCTCCTCTTCCGTGTGCGTGTGTGTGTCCACAGTGCTGTGTGCTGACAGAGTGGGCCAGATGACAAAGACCTTCAGTGACATTGATGCCGTCACACGTCTTCTGGAGGAGGTGAGCTCACTCGTCTGAGATGTCGTGGAGGAAAAAAATCCCGACACATCTGACATTCACACGAGCACGTACACAAAAAGTCACATGCGACACACACCCAAAAAAAATGTTCACACAAATAAATGCCTCTCGCACACAACAAAAAGCTCTCACATTTGCAAAACAACCAAAAATCAGGACTCATTTCAGCAATGAGCTAGTTGAATCGTAACCTTGGCCACAGGCCAAGGGGGGGAGGGACTTGGTGCATGAAAGCGCCAATCAACATCCCGATTTGGCATGGATGTGGGGTTTTTTTTTTCCGGCTTTCTTTCGCTCACATACATTTTAACTCACACCTTCAACAAAAAAAGTCTTACTTTTTCCAAAAATAAAAATCTCAGGCGTTTGGGTGTGTGTGAGGTATTTTTGGGCTCCATGGTGCCCGCCTCAAACGGATGCGCTATAAATATCCATCTGCTTGTGTTGCGAATACTGTACATCAAAAGTGTCTCCAATGTCGCTTTTGGTCTTGTGCGTTAGAAAGAGAGAGATCTGGAGTTGGCTGCAAAGATCGGCCAGTCTCTCCTGAAGAAGAATCGCGTTCTGACTGAGCACAACGACTATCTGGAAGAGCAAGTGGGACAAATCACTGAAGAGGTCCACCGAAACACACCCACACGACAGATTTCTTGTTGCCGTGCGTCGCATGGGAGGGATTGACTTGAATGGAAGCTTTTGGTCCGGCAGGTGGCCCAGCTGCACCATGAATTGAACCTGAAGGACGAGCTGCTGCAGTTTTACACCAATGCGGCCGACGAGAGCGAGGAGGAGTCCGGCGGATCGCCAACGTCTGCATTTTTTTAATGGACTTACATACTGTATACTTCTGGGCACCCATGATCGCTTAAGTTACTCGTGCGCAGTTGGCTTGTACTGTCAAGTTTGCAAATTGCCCATGAATAATTGATGGCCACCCAAAAAGCTTTGTAATTGCTTATAGATGCCACAAGATGGCGGTAGACAAAAGAAGGCTCTTCCCTTCCCTCCGAGAGCGTCGAGATGAAGCCAGATGTCAGCAAAGCAATCATTTTATATTCATTTTTAAGTATATCACATGTTGGAGCTCAAAAGAGTAAAAGTTGATGTCAATTTCAGTTGTTATGTCGACCTTGTTCTTGTGTGCCCGAAGGGGTAAGAGGAGTCGGGTGGAAGCTGCCGCGGGAGGTTTCCTGAGCGACACCCTGCAGAGGAAACTCAAGGAGCTGGAAGAAGAGAACCTGTCGCTCCGCTCAGAGGTCTGTCCGTCAATGACGGCCGCCTTGTCCGTCTTGCCGTTGATGCCGCGACGTCACCTCAGCGCGTTTTATGCCCGCGCGCAGGCGAGCCATCTCAAGTCCGAGACCGAGACGTACGAGGAGAAGGAGCAGCAGCTCGTCAATGACTGCGTGAAGGAACTCAGTCGGTTTCCTCCATTTGTCGACTTTGCGTGTCGTTGCTGGGAACAAACTTTGAAAACGACAACTTTTCCCCCCGCAGGGTTGTCCAGTCTTCAAATCTCGACCATCGCGGAGGAGCTCGCGCGCAAGACCGACGACGCCTCCCGACAGCAAGAAGAGATTACGCACCTCCTCTCCCAAATTGTCGACTTGCAGAAGAAAGCCAAGTCTGTGAGTAATGCAAATAACATACACAAGAGAAACGTGGCCTTTCCTTCCCGTGTTCATCGCCAACTTCCTGTCTGCCCGTGCGCAGTTTGCCGTGGAGAACGAAGAGCTCTCTCAGCATCTGATCGCGGCCAAAGATGCGCAAAGGCAGCTCACCGCCGAGGTGAGTCTTAGGTTGTCGTGGCGACCGACACTCTAAAACTTTGCATCTGCACAAAAAAGCTTCTCACGTTCACCAAAAAGCTTCTCATGCGCACCAGAAATCTCTCACTCACCCAAAATATTCTCACCCAAAGCATTTTTTCAGTCACCAAATCGTCTCTTACTAAATCAAAACAGCAACAAAAAAAGTCACAGGGCAAAAAAATGATGTTTTTTTGGTGAGGGTTCTTTTATTTTATTTTATTTTTTATGTACATGCCACCTTGTCGCCAAAATGTGACCTTAATACGCAACGTTTCCACCAGCTGCAAGAGTTGGAGGAGAAGTACTCAGAGTGCATCGAAATGCTACACGAGGCCCAGGAGGAGCTGAAGAACTTGAGGAACAGGAACTACGCCGTGGGAACGCCCAGACGCTTCCATCCGCTCGGATTGTACCCCATGGTGAGGGCCTTGCAGTGCTGCGTGAATGTGCGTCCGTGCACAAGATGCACGCGGCTCACGCGTGTGCTTGGCAGGATTCCCTGGCTGCCGAGATTGAGGGAACCATGAGGAAGGAGCTGAGCCTGGACGACCCCGACTGTGAGCAGCAAAAGTACGGCTGAAATATTTCACTTTGATATTCGGGGATGTCGCACTAAAAGTGACCCCAATGGCCAATGGCGTTTATTGATTCACGTGGGTGTGTCCTCGACAAGACGGGTGTATTTGAAGTGAGGCGTTTATTGATTCACGTGGGTGTGTCCTCGACAATTCGCGGACACAGGGAGGCCTTTATTTGAGGCAATATCGTATCTCGGGGGGGTGGAATAAGATGGCAACCAAATGATGCAATAGTATTTCATTCTCTTGGACTGTGCAGGTGTTCCCGTTGTTTGTTTGCACCTTCATCCAAGTCGAACAAAGCCGCTCTCCATCCCCACCGCATGTGTTCATCTTGAAATCGTGATTTGGGATGTTTACTCCGGTAGGGTCCACCGCAAGCGTGTTTTCGAGACGGTCAAGAATGTGAACCAGACAGCGCGTCGGCGTTCTGTGACCCCGACCGGCGGCAACATTCCGGGCTCCAACCAGTCCTTGTCCTCGCGCACGTCGCCCATGTCCAGCGGGCTCAGCAGCCCCCACTCCAGCCTGTGTGGAGGCGACCTGGGCGGGGACGGCGTCGCCCTGGACAACCGCGCTCAGAGCATTCTCATGGAGACGGCGTCCAATCAGGAGAGGTGAGGAGGGGATTCGCGACAGATCATGTCACCGTTATCCAAAACTGCTTCAAATAAAGACCGCTTTCGTTGACCAAGATGAGTTTGAAAAGCTTGCGGCGCAACACTTCCTGTGACTCTTTAGGAACGCAGACAGCCGAGAGAAGAAGGCAAGCGGCGCTGAGGATTTGCGTCTGGCCCTGCGCCGCCTGTCCCTGCGGCGTCAGAACAACCTGAGCGAGCGGCGCTTCTTCGAGGAGGAGCGGGAGCGGCGGCGAGGTGTCGGCCTCCCTGACGCCGCCGGCCAGGGGAGCGTCATGACCCCCTCGGAAAGCATCATGTCGCTGGGGAACCTCCACCTGTGGGCCTCTAGGGGGCCCTACCTGCCCGACAAACTGCAGATTGTCAAGCCGCTGGAAGGTGAGGGCGGGGCGAAAAAGGAGCGAGAGAGCAGGAGGAGGAGGAGGAGGAGGAGCGAGGAGGAGGGCAGGCCCGGGCAGACACCCGAGGGAGAAAGAGCGGGCGGGTGGGCTTGGGTGAGGAAGACCGGTGCTGGCTTGGAGAGGGAGCGGGGCAGGAGGTGGGCCAGCGACAAAGCCGGGAGCAGGAAGAGGAAGGCGCTGAGCGAGGGGAAGGCCACGCCCCCCTCGCTCATGCTCTTCAACTCTTTCTGGTCTCTCATGCGTCATCACAAGTCAGGTGTCTTTGCTTCCCCTCACACTTTGTGCAGGGACACGCAGCCCAGAGCGTGGCTCTAAAGTGGCCGTCCTCGATTGAGAGAACTCCCTTTGGCGCCCCCTGGCTTCAGTGGCAGAAGATGCTCCAAAATTGTTGGAGGAGGGCACCTGATGTGAAACACAAATATCCCCGAATTTTAATAGGAAACCCGCTGAGAGAGAGCGTGTGAATTAACCGGCCATCCTGTGCAGAAAACGCCTCTGTGTGAAAACCGACGTCGTTTCATCTTAATGTGGTCAATCATCCGCTGGTAATGGAATGCTTTTTAGGAATGATGACGACTGTTTGACCTTTCGGCTCCTTTGGACATCCTAACTGACGACAATGTTGAATTCCAGCACTACTGTTAAAAAAAAAAAAAAAAAAAAAAAAAAAAGCGCATTCATAGCGCTCCTTTTTAAGAGTTACAATTTGAGAACATTGTTATTGTGGATGTAGAGCTGCATTGTATCACACAGAGATGGCTTGCTAATATTTTGAGTACTTTATCGGTAGGGTTGATAAAGATAAAGTTTGATTTTTTTTCTTTTGTTTTATGACATCACACGATTGATCTTAACATGGCAGAATATTGCACAAAACGAGAATAACACAACACGAAGCTTGGTTCATCGCTTCACTCTTCAAAGCACCCGCTAATGCGTTGATCTAAGTGTAAGTCTTCAACACGGGTTTGAATGAATTTCGAGCGTCTGATATATGAGCAGGCCTCACTGTGATGCAATAGCATTGTACAGTCACAATACCAGACGTAATTAAGGCATCATTTATTGATACAGTCTTGGATCTCATCAGATTGTGTCGACGCAACTCCTGTTTTCCTTCTCACGCTTCATTTTGCTTTGCTTTTCGACTCATCTGTTTTTCCTTTCCTTCTGTCCACATGGTGTACTTCCCTTTCTTCATTTCACCGTGTCTGACTAATAAAAGTTTTTTTTTTTTCTGTCATTCAAATTTCATTTCTCTTTCTGTCGCTTTTATCACCCTTGAGTTGTCTTCTCGCATTTGGTTCACTCAAACCATCACCTTAGACCGCATCCCATCCAAAACACATCACGGGCAACACCAGCTGGGTGCGGTACAGCGCGGTCATACGTGTCTTTCCACCGTAGGCTCGGCCACCCTCCATCACTGGCAGCAATTAGCCCAGCCGCATCTCGGGGTGATTCTGGACGCCAGGCCGGGGGTCGTGTCTAAAGGGTACCGACCCCTCGAACTGGAGCTTGAACAGGTCCGTATGTCCCACCGTACAGTTTGTCAATGTTGATGAATGTCGTGTACTTCCAAATGGGAATGGGCATGATAAATGGATGAATCTGTTTTATTTCATCCACAATCGTAGTTAACGACATTTTTTTACCTGTGATCAAAATCACATCAATAAGTGGCTAAAATGGTTTTGTCAAAGTTTTACATGTGGCGTAAATAAATCCAAATTTCTCAATCATCAAAATGGAAAAAAAAAAAAAGCTCAAAAAACAAGAGAAGGCAATTTTATCCGAAGTCTCCTTGAGCGTCCGAGTGTCTTTCCATCCCCTCTTCCACTTTGCGAGTCAACCACATGCACCCATTTCAAACTCGCCCGATTGTACGTGACATGCCCAAGCAATATTCTCCGGCACTTTTACGTGGCTCAATGCTTGAGGGAAACAAATGTTCCCCCTATTGCCGTATTCTTCCATGTCTGAATGGTTGTCCGCAGGTGTATTCTTGGGGGAGCTTGGAGGAGGACGAAGCGGGAGAGCAGTACTTCCAGAATCTGCCCACCACCTCCGCTTTGGCCTCCCCGGCTCTGCCCTGCACCTCCTCGAGCCTGGGGCAGCCCTCGCCACGCTTGACTCCACCCTCGCCATCCCCGTCGCCACACCTCAGCAACACTGATGCGCTCGGTGAGGCGGGAAGACATGCTGTGAAAACGATGTTGTGGCAGTTTGTTTTTTTTGTTTTAATGAGGATTCGTTTTTGTGTGCAGCCGCATACTATCCAGGTAAATGCATGGCCCATACAAGCTCCACCTACACCTTCACAACCTGCCGCATTCTGCATCCGACTGACGAGCAGACGCGGGTCACGCCCAGGTAAGCCCGCAGTACGAATACGGAGTGCCCACCTGACCAAATTAAAACAGAAGACGGAATTTAATAGAAGAGACTCAAGTCGGCTCGTTTTGCTCGACAGTTTGCACGCCATCCCTGCGTCGTCCTCCTGCGTAATGACCAGCTCTCTACTGGGCACGCCCGCCGCAACACCCTGCACGCCCCGCAGGCTCAGTCTGAGGCCGTCAGAGTCGTCAACAAATCTCAGGCAAAAAAAACGCACCAAAAAGCTCCTCGATGGACCAACTGGAAAGCGCTTCAGATGACCTTACCTGACTTGTCTGTTCCATTGGTCCGCAGAGATGCCACGCGGACCACGAGCACTTGCCTGGGCCTAGTGCGCCTCCTACAGGAGAGAGGCATTTCTGCAGCCATGTATCACCAGAGTCAGGGATTGGATGCCAGTCAGGCCAACCAGGGGCTTTTATTCAGCACTTCCATTACTCCTACCAGACCCCCCGAGCCCGAGCCGTTGCGTCCCTCCACCCCTCCGAGCTCCCCCACAGGACAGGGGCCTTCAGCCATAGCGACCTCCCTGGGCTTTGACTTCAAGAGCCCCTCTTATGACAACTTCCTGGCTTCGAAGCCGGCGCGGTCCATCCTGAAGGAGGTGACGGGAAGGACGAGGGGCCGACAGAAGGGGCGGGACTGCGAGAGCCAGACCGACGTGAGCGTGACCGTGCACAACCTCAACCTGCTGGACAAGGTGAAACGGCTCGGGGTGGCCGGGGCGGCGGGGGCCCGAGCAGCCAGTCCTGGGCCCATACTTGGGGGGCCTCTGGGTGGGCTACGCAGATCAGGCTCCCCCTTCGGGCCGGACGGGATCAGACGGAACCGGAGTTATCCGGCCAGCATGGCCATGAAAGCTCCAGGTCCTCCAGAGTAAGATTGATTACTGATGTACATATGAGCAAGGACTGGCTGCTGGTCAGTCACATGCTCACCGTTTGATAAATACGTAGAGAAAATGACTTCTTCTGAGCAAATGAATATACTTTGTAGACATCATAGCGCTACAAGTGACGCACGCGCCTCAAATCACTCCAACGTTGTTCCGTGACACCACGATGGTGCTGAAGTTGGACTACTGGATGAGACAAAGCTTTGTTCTGACCACAAAAACAATTGAGTCGTTTTTAGTCGTCCCCCCCCAGTTCTTCCTGTTGTAGGTAATCGCTTTCATGAAGTCGAGCTGGGTCCACATCTTTTTGTTTCGAGAAGTGAGATTTGTATTCTTTACTCACTGTTTTATCATTGTTATTTTCATAACAAGATGCATCATTTTCGTTGTTTTAGATGCCAAAATATAAGGTATGACCTTCCCAAGTTTTTTTTCTTTTTTTGTCCTACACAGATGAAACACAAGATGGCAGCATGTCTCCTTGATTGGAAACTCACACACAGTATTTGATGAGTTGTGCAGTCGCTCGACATGTGAGTCTTATTTTCACACTAGGTTGCTTTTTCCATTACAAACAGGAAGCAGAAGAATGTACTGTCCACGCCATACCTCGAGATTAGTTTGACATTTGAGTATTGAGATCCTCATTGTAAGTTCACTGAAGTTGTCCAACATTCGAGCCGATCCCAGTCAACTTTGGGCAAGAGGCGGCCTACATCGGCGACCATTCACACTCATAACCACCCCCCCCCCCCCTGTGGGCAATTTAGTTTTCAATTAGCCTAAAATGCATGTTTTGGGACAAAAACTCAAGGAAGAACGGGGAGACCATGCAAACGACACACAGCAGCGCCTGAACTTGGTACCGACTGTGTATTAAAAGTGTTTGTGGGAAACATGTTTTGGGTTTACAGTCTTTTCATGTTTTAGTCGTTTTAGACTTGCATGGCAGGCGCTGATAGTTTCCCTACCTCTGCTGTAGTGTACTTAATGAAGTGGCTGATGTGTGTTTACACAAGAGCCACTCAAAGCTCGGAGCGACTCATGCTGTGTGTTGTTACGGGGTCAAGGCCTACGGAGGCAAACAAAACTGCATTTCTCAAGAAAACGTTCCCACTTGAACTTCGTCACAGACGCTTTGTCTGGCGTTTCCTGTTGCCTTCTCCCCCTCAAAAAACATGTTTGTTCCGAGTTTGATATTTATGTGCCCAACTGTTAGCGGCGAGGGAAATCCTGTCTGACCCCTCAGCCTTCCTGTCTGACCTCTCAGCCTCCCCTGATGAGAACATGGGCACTTGGTGACGTGCATGGGTGGATGGATGGGCTTTTTTTTTTTTTTTCATGTGAACCTTGCATAATCCACTAATCTTTGTTTGAGCAGAGATCCAATGAACGTACCTGGAAGTGGCTTTGGAAAGACATTCAAGCATGATTCAGAACACGCGAATGCACGCGGATGATGAGTTACACTTGCGAATGCACACGCACGCACGCACAGATGGTTGCAGTTAGAGAGTAATATTTTAACTGAAGCGGACACTGGTGTTTCATGTCTGGAAAATCTGAGTAATGCTTGTTTGACAAATCATCTCTGATGTAGTGTAGGCTTTGTTTAATCAAGCTATGATGCATTAAAACAAGCTTGTACTGTACATGGAACAGATGGGGAGCACATTCATCCTCAGTGTTCCCAACCCCTTCAACTTATAAGTGTTAAATCATCCGGTCTCCGCGTGACCACTTCAAATGGCTCAGTTTTAGGTTGAATCAAGTCGACATACAGTGTGTCGACTGAAACATTTCACACAAGGCTTCAGAGTGCTGCAAACGTTCAGACGTTTGTATCACTGTGTGAATTTTAATGATCTATCCAACTGTATGTGAGTGCGAGGAGTTTGTATGATTTACTTGAATTGTTCAGTGGATTCTTTGTCATTGTCTCAAGTGCACATCCAAGGAATAGTTACAAAAAACACACAAAATAATAGTTTTAGAATAAAAAGGGCACGACAAAAAAACAAATACATTCCCTGAGCTTAGTTTTTACATCTCATTGGAGGTGTATCTTTTAGGCTTTGCTATGGCGCCAATTTGTGGCATTTTTTTGGATGGAACAGAAGAGCACAAACAATGCAAATCGGCTTAATTTATTAACAGCAACGTTTCGCTTTTTTTTTTTTAACCCTCGGGTCCCATCAACTGGCTCTATACCGAGTCATCGTTGTAACGAACGATTTGCAAGAGACAACACTGTGATCATGTAGTACCTAAAAGTGGCACCGGGTGGCGGTGCAGCGCTTGACTCCCATTGTTCAACCCTTGAGATTAGTGATGGGATTTTCGGCTCTTTTCGGTGGTCCGGTTCATTTGGATCGGCTCAGTGAAAAGAGCCGGCTGTTTTTGGCTCTTAAACGGCTCTTTTAACTTTAGCTTTTCTTTTAATTTTTTATGACAAATTTAGCATACATTTTGAAAAATGACTTGGTGAACTAAATATTGCACTCTACTGACTGCAAATAGCAACAATTATCAAGCAAAGAAATGGCTTTTTGCTTATTTTATTGACCATTAAAAAGGCTCCAAACAATAAACAAGCAACAAAATTAAACTTCATCCAACAACAATCAAACATGCTGCATCATAACAAAAATAGTGAATATTAACTGCAACAGCAGCAGTGAACAAAGCAGCTCAGTGGATCAGCTGCCCTTGAAATGTGTGCTTCTTCAAGATTGGCCCTAATTTAGTGCTTTGTGTTTTTGCACGCTTGGCTAATACTGTAAATTAGATTCTGATTGCTGACCAAACGCCTTTGTGTTTTCCCGGACAGTAGGGGGCGATATAAACGAAAGACATCCAAGAAGAAGAAGAATAAGTACAAGCACAAGAACGGTACCACTTCCGGTTCAATGAGCAAGTTTTTCCGCTGTCCACAAGAGCTGTTCTCAGTGAGTAATTTTAACGTTCTTCGCAGTTTATCTCTGAGTATATAGATGTAGATAATTGGGGAGCGTTATTACGACACGTTGCTCCTTTAATTTTGTTGTGACTCACTAAGTCGCTGGAAGTGATCGGAAAAAAAAACGTCAGCAAAGGGGGCAGCGAGCGAGCACGCCGCCGACAAGTAGACCTCAGCCGTCAATCAAAAAGCAATCGCGAGCAGCGTTTGACTTGAATACTATTCTGTATGTTTTCCACACCAAAGCTGCTATCAGCAGTGGAAGTGTGATGGCTTCACATCAGGGGGGGGGGCAGATTTGTTTCAAAACTATTCCCACAAATGCACCGTGTATAGTAAGACGAGTTGCACAAAGAGATCGTGTCGTTTTGTCATTTTGCTTTCTTGGCCAGGTGTGTCAAACTCATTTCACATTGTGGGCCACAAACGGCCTCGGTAGATGTCAAGTTGGCCGGACCATTAAAAATTAAACCATACTCTGCTATAAATAACCAAAATAA